CTTGGTTTTCACTTTCTGTACAAGTAAGATTAGGCAAACGTTTAGACTATGTAAATCATTGTATTAATTTGTTAACTTGCTGAAACACCTCATGTTATATATAATTAGTTTCTATCAAGACAAGAAGTTTGTAATTTCACTTTTGTTCAATTTCTTTTACCAGTCATCTTTCTGTTCCGTTGAACTTTGTCATCTCAACTGACAGCTAGATTATGCCAGTCATTTAATATTATCTTTTGAGTTCAATTATCCAATAGAGTTATAATACAAACTTGATGAAATGAATCAGATTGTGTTCATTTTTTAACTTAATCACACGATGTTTACGTATAAGGTACCCTCTAAGTATAAGGGTTGATGATTATTTATTTAAACACATAAGCAATGGTACAAGGAGGCACCAAATCGATATGCGCCACATAAATCATCATTCGATTTATGTGAGCGCTGGGATACTGCCGGGTGCCCAAACCGGTTCAGGTGGTTTTGTTAGGGGGTCACACCCGACCTAAAGGTCTAATCCACAAGGCAGTACAGAAACGTCAGGAGATGCAGTCCTTTGGTAGTCGTTGACCAATAATTGATTCATACACCATTTGTCCCTTCAGGATATTAGAGCCCATGTGCTCCATCGGTTTGGAATCAGGGTTACCAAACTCCCCTATATGGATCCTCCATATCCACCAACCCGGTTAAAGCAGCGGACATTCGCTTTTCATCCTCTCAATTTCGTAAACAATAGTAATGCCGCGAGAAGGCAATGAGTAGGACTTCCCTGATAGAGTGGCTGTATCCATATGGCCATGTGAAAGCATTTGGAGAGGGAGAGCTGACACTCCCCACTCTCGGCCGTACCAGGGCATTTAGGTGCTAGGGTTAGTGATACTGTTACTTGATTATAAGCAAAGATGGATAGTGGCTAGCAATGGAATCCAGGACGCGCGTTTCGTCCTGATCAATTTCAGTCCTAAAACATCAATGAAAGATTCAAGTATAACAATACCAAGTGAACTGTTACCTGATTGTTTAGATCAAAGTAGGTGAAGGTTATTTGAACTAGAGACTTAGTAGTTCAAAGTCGAACGCCTTAATCATATAAAGCCACTGATCTAATTATGTTTAGTAAATTTAATTAACCTAAACATTCATTGATGTAGATAGATTCTTTTATTATGATTATGAATAAAAAGTATAATGATTACCTAGTTTTCTGTTTTCACATAAAGTAAACCCACTTTATCATTGTCACGTAAAACAGTCATGTTTCAATGAGTTCTTTGATGATGCTTCAGTAATTTTGAATTAGAGAGTCTTTATAACATGGAAATTATGAAAAGAAAAACAAGTTAATTAATTAAATTTACTTGGTATTGTTAACTTGTATCTTCCCAATGATGTTTAGCAGTGCAATTGATCAGTCTCTTATTGGATAACACGATGGAGTTTGAAGTGAACAGTACTGAGTTCGAGTCCTAGAGTGAACATGAACTCAGATGCAGGCGCATCAAGCTGACGAGTCCCAAGTAGGACGAAACGAGCGTCAAACTGGATTCCACTGCTAATCTTTGCCTATGATGCTTGTGAATTAAAGTAATATCGAGGCAGTCCACACAGGATGCACATATGCCAATAAGAGACTGATAATAACAGTCTTAATAATGGGAAGATATCGTGTGAATTTAAACTTCACCCCGTTGCACAAGCAAGTTGCTGTTAGGACTCAGTAGCTAAGTGGATAACGCGATAGCGTTTGAAGTGAAGGCTACGGGGTTTCAGTACTAGAGTGAACATCAACTATGAAATGCAGGTACATCAAGCTTACCTGTCCCAAATAGAATGAAATACACATCGAACTGGATTCCATATCTAGTCACTATCCATCTGTGCTTATATTTAATAAAATACTTTTAAGCTAAAATATAAAATCATCGAGAAACAAAGGGGGATCCGATACGTATATGAAGGGATGGGTTGGAAAAGCAAAGAAAGCATTCCTGTATAATTGAACATTTTGAGCTCAAAACAAATGTAGACTAATATCAAAGTCACAATCTTTAACACGAACGTCGAAACAGTTAGTTCTTTAGTACGGAAATGAAACGTGGAGAACTACTACAACCATCATCAAGAAGGTATAAGTATTTATAAACAATTATCTACACAAGATATTTAATATCCATTGGTAAATCAATGATTAAAATCATTAACTCTGTTCCATTTAATGAAATTATAACGGTCAATAAATGATTGATAAGTCCGAATTGTCTTTATCATACAAGATGAAAATCAGAGTTTAGCTTCACAGCCTAGATAATTATCCATATCTTGAATTCAATCCCTTGCGTTGCTATCATAGACATGGACTGGAATCGAGAAGTTTAATACCAAGATAGAATAGCTGTCCAGAGCTTCCTGATTACCTAACTAATATTGGTTTACGATTGATCACTGAGTAGTGACCAACATGTTGATAAACCTCAAGCCTAAATAAGGTAAATCTCAGCCCCAACAGTTAAATCATAGGGTCTCTGACTGTAAAGCTGAAGGGACGCGAGATAAAACCCATTAATTTCTCCAAGATTACAAGTACACTGTAATGAGGAGTGTCAAATAACACGCAACCTAGGTAACACCAGGGTTATTTATCGCTTACTTTTTAACCAACACATTATTATTATTTTAACACTTAGGTACAAAGAGGCACCAAATACGTATGCGCCACACGAACCTCACTCGATATGCGTGAGGGCTGTGATACTGCCTGGGTGCCCAAACTGAAGCAGGTGGTTTTCTTAGGGGGCCACTCCCCGAGCCTTCGACTTGAAGGTCTGATCTACAAGGCAGTGGAGCATCGTGAGGAGATGCAGTCCCATGGAAGCCGGTGACCAACAATTGGTTCATACGCCATTTGGTCCCTCAGGATACTGGAGCTCATGTGCACCATTGGTTTGGAATCCGGTTAAAGCGCCGGACATTCACTTTTCGTCCTCTGAATTTCGCAAACAACACCCCCGCTACGAGAAGGCAGTGAGTAGGACTTCGCTGGCAGAGGTTATACACGCGTGGCCATGTGAGAGCATTTCGAGAGGGAGAGCGGACTCTCCCCACTCTCGACCGTACCAGGGAATTTGTGTAAACGATGAAATATTATGTATTTCTTTTTCTCCCTTTTCATTTCACAATCATACAACAATTCAATAACAGGAAATGCAAAAACGTTAATAATTCAATAAATATGAATTATTATTATTAACAGTAATTATTAGAAATAATATTCGTAATAGTAATAATAGTGGTATAATTGAACATGATAAGGTTGAATTATTATATGAAGGTTAATACTGTGAAATAAAAATAATAATAAAAAAACAGGCAAGAAATTCGAATCCAAGATACAAATCATACACACACACATGCATACATAAGATAGTAGAGTAGAATAGAGTAGGATAGACAAATATTATCATAGTCCTCTCAATGGACAAGGACAAAACAACAAACAAACAAACAAACCGTGAAAACAATGAAATAATCAGTGTGACAAATTACGTGAGCGATAATACTTCTATTATTACTACTACTACTACTGATGAATAGAATCAGTAGTGAAATCAACAAAATTATATGATGAAAATATTTTTTATTTATTTTGAAGAATAAGAAGAAACAAAAAGATAACACGAATCACTATAGCAATTTATAGGATATAATACATAGAGAAGAAAATGAGTGGCGATAAAGGAGGGGTGTGAGAGGACAGTACAAGGGTACATAATCAGAATAAACAGAACAACAGTAAATAATAGTTGTGTATACACATGAAATGATTATGATGAATTAGGGCGATTTGTCTTATTATTATTATCATCATGATCAGTATGATTGAAAGACAGATAAACAGACTAATAATTAATTATTCATTGATATAATCCATATTGTTGTCTTAAAAAAAAGTGTGAAACAATATGCCAAAAGTGGATAGGTGATGGAAGGGGAAAGGATAAACGGAATGAGGCAGAAAAAAAGATAAACAAATAGTGAAATGTATTTCCTGTTCATTTATGACTGAATAAAAGAACATTTGATTTTTTTTAATATTTGACAGTTATTGAATGACCAAAGGATGAGATGAAACGACTACTGAAAATACAACAGCTTATACTAGTAGTATATTTATATATATATGTATTCTGTTGAAGAATACAGGAAATATAGTAGAGAGAAATAATAATAAAGATATACAGTATAATTTACACGTAGATTGTAGAATATAAACGGTACTTGTAGTTAATGTGTATAGACTACTACTGACTCGAAGCAAATTTATACTGAAAACGAAGATACAACAAATGATGAATATATTATAAAGAAGTATAATACATAAATGATTAACATGTGTATGTAAGTATGCATGTGTGTGTGTGTGTACGAAACGTGGTAAACAAAACAACGTTACACGTACACATACAGACAGCAACAATATATATGTATATATGTATAGACAGAATCATTAACAGAAAGGTTTAACAACCCATTCAATTACATCATCGACGCCTTCCTTAACCATGGATACAACAATGAATATAGATGGTGACAACCAGAAAGGTGTAAAAAATAATACAATACAATGCAATGAAATATATAATCAACAACAAAAAAGAAAATCTGAATATTGATTGGGAAAAAAATATTAACGTGGTTACTCTGCTCTATCCTCACTCTCTTTAGAAACAACAATAATGTAATCAGCACGAAAACAAAAATCATTAATGATTGACTAAGTGATTTCGTAATTGGCAAATGTTTTGTTTGATCCAAGGATCAATAAATAGAAAAGAAAATTATATAAAAAAACATGATGGGAATAATTATATTATTATGATTATTATCAAGGTGTGGACGGTAGCTCAGCAATATGAACAGATTCCGTGAAAATGCTGATAAAGGTAAGAATAAGAATAAGTTAGAAATGAACTTGTACAAAAATGCACTAGAATGAATCACCTATCAGATAAACGCTTTACATAAGTCACTGGGAACATTCCACGTCGACTGGGGTCTGATTGAATGAAACCTTCCTATAAAAAAAACGAAAGTAAAAAATAATGCTTCGTTAAAGATTAAAATATTTATATTAATTAGTTACTTCCTATTAAACGTGACTTAGATGGAGCCAATTGAAATGTTTCAAATAAAACAAAGTGAATATTCTATATCCTAATGCTAGTCACAATTCATTTATTCGATCGAGTATATAGCAAAATCTGTATATTGAGGTGATTTATGTCGAAACAAAATCTCCGTTTTTTGTACACGAATTAAACAATATCACAATGAAGATATATTTATTAGGTTACGATGAGCATTTTATGGTTCATTAGGTATGTAAGTATGAACAACAACGAGAATGGATCTAGGTACTGTTGTGAAATGGGTTTCATAAAGTTTAGGGTCACTGACATGTATAAAAAAGATGGATAGTAGAGATGCCCCCAAAAATATCAGGTCCTGTGTTATTATTTTTCATTGTAAAATTCCATTTTATGAAGTGATAATTCATTCACATGACGCTATTAATAATCGTTCAGTCAGAAAGCGTAAAACATGTAAACTAAACCATATCGATATCTTGAGATTGCAACATTTAACGAATTATGTCAACCAAAACGTGATGTTTCTTTTGATTATGTAAGCTGTCGTTCACAAACAGTAATGATCTAAAATAGAAAAGAGCTGGACATATCCTTAGTTAGGGGAGATCTTGTTGCACGATTACAGTGGAGAACTGTATTTTACAATCAGACTTTTATAGATAGGATAATATGACAATGAGAAAGTGACTTATATCGGGATAGTTCGTTCGATCCTACGGTGAACATGCATTCAAATTAATAGCCACACAACCGAAAAGTTTCACAAGGCCAGTAGGACACAGACTCGTTGGATATAACTCGCAGAGGTGAATTTATATTGGAAAAAAGCATCAAGAGTGTCTTCTGTATAGAGTAATGTGTCGTTTGAATGCGGTAAGCTAACTTATTATCAAACTAACAGTGTACTACTTAAATTTTGTTAGTAGCTAAAAAAACAGATTGCGAAAATTGGGCGGACAAAAGTCATGATGTTGATAATAATCATGTTACTGGTGCACTTCATAATTAAACCCATAAATGAGAAACAATATACACAATAAAAAAAATGTGAAGGTCACAAAAGACGATAAAATGTCAGTGGTACGATCAAAATAAAATACCAGGTTGAGATAAACGCGTCAACCCTTCGTTATTTGAACGTGCATTAAGGTTACATGACTAAAATATGCTGGTTTAGATTACAAAAAAAAAACTACATATATATGAATGACAGTTTGGAATGTCATTGATGGTAAGAACGATAAATGGAAAAGCATTAAGTTGGTGAATATATATATATATATATTTGTGTATGTGTGTACAAGTAATGATAATTTCACCGGGTCTACAAAACCCGACATTTGACCCTATGAATTGACCACATGACAATTCATAGGTAAAACACCCAGCCAATAATATTGATAACAATAGTAATGATAATGGTAGTAGTAATAATATTAACTTTAATACAATTTATGTGGTAATATTATTGAAGAAACATTATTACACATTACAAAAAATTTGTACGCGTGAAAAACCAGAGACAAAATGCGTACAAAAATGAATTCTAGGCTTTAGGGTCTGGTAATAACTGTTTTGATGCACACGGAATGTAGAAAAACAAATCTCTTATTTAACAGTGTTTGTGTGGAAGGGAGGGTGAGTGAAAGAACAATGTCGGTCACTCTATTTACATTTGAAATCAAATCAGTTCTAGTGCGTTGTTATCTGACGAAAAGTTGGCACGAATTCAGAAAATTCGATTGACTTTTGTCAAATTACGTCAATTGTGACGTAGGTGACACATATCAGTCTTCTTGAATTTCATCGAAATTTCGTGCTGGTTGACACGTATCTTGTAGCTAAGAGGGTAATGATACTACTTGGTGGATTCAAACATGCATCAACCGGCTTCACACTCTAAGATCTCACCACTGAGCTATTTAGCTTGTGGTTGACTGCTTGTAGTGAAGTGAATGAAAAATCAGGTGGGGAAAACGGATTTATTGTTTAATGCAAAACCACACAGTGGCTTAGTAAAATATGAAAATCATACATGAAATACATCATTTATACATCTACTCCATTATTCCTCTAATTCTGCTGTTATTTTGATTTCTCATCGATTTCCTTTCTGTTCTCTTCAATTCAATCTTGTGCTACCAGGGATTCTAATTTCGATTGCGGCTACATACTAATGTTTGCCAGTAAAATAGCATATACCACAGTAGAACTGTAGGACTGCCGCTAATCGATCACTTTCATCCACCTGACTCATGATCTCAACTATTGAAATTACTATAATATCACAAAACCCCTTCTGATATTAATCAACATATGCTCCTTAGTAACTGGCTTCAAGAGGTGTTTCCTGAAGTTCTAGTGAGAACCAGTGACCAATGGAGTTCAACTGGGTCTGTTGTGAGATGGTAACTCACTGGAGACAATGGTGGATGTGTCGCTCAATTTCGTGGATTAGTTGAATTTAGGCATTAACAGCGTTTATGCCGGCTCGGTGGTCTAGTGGTTAAGCGCTCGCGCGCGAGACTGATAGATCCTAGGTTCGAACCTCATGAAGTGGGATCGTGGGTGCGCACTGCTGATGAGTCCCACAGTAGGACGAAACAGCCATCAAGTGCTTTCACGTTTTCCATAGTGGTCTAGCTTCAATTGATTCATGATCTCAATTATTGAAATTACTATAACATCCACAAAACCCCTTCTGATACATAAAAGTATTCAAAAATAACGTTGATAACTCTTTCTCCATTAAACTGAATTAAACACCGGAACACTAAAAGTTCAAACCATCGAATAGTTGCCTTATTTTGAAACTTTATCAGAATCAGAATACACATCATAGTTATTTAAATCTTACTGAATTCCATTAGTTTATCATATATGAACAAACTTAATACCATCGACGATTAACTATTTATTATTTTCACCTTCACAAATACTATATAGGACATTACTATAATGGAAGTTGGATTTTTATTTTTCGAAAGGAACACAAAGAAATAACCATCTCTCATCATCATTTAACTTACCCACCAATCATTATCTGGTCTATCGATTAATTGTATAATTTCACCACGATTAAATGTTAATTCATCTGAATTTTCCGCTTCGCAATCATATAAAGCTTCTAATAGATCACCTATTTTACAATTGAATATTGATAAATTATTTGAGCTTTTAATACATTTCAATGATGATGTTGAATAAAGACTAGAATCATATTTATCTGAAAGAGAATTTAATACAATGAAATTAGTTAAATTGGATGAGATTATAATTTATGGACGATCTTTGAGCGACGTTAAAGTGATTTTGGGAATGTCCATCTATATACACTACGGCTAAATGAAGGATTATAGATCAGTGTGAGGAATTAGGATTATTATTTGCAGTTGATAGTTAGGGTTAGGAGTTAGATTTAAAGTTTTCATCACGAACTGACATCATCTATAATACCAAAACTATTTAGCCAAATGAATGAAATAATTTCGCGCCAGAATTCAAGATATTCTATTCTAAATTTGATTGGTTCGTCCAGAAACTGTAATCTCGCCGCTGTGTGAAGTGTGCTACTTGTACAGACAGATATAAGTAGTATGGATGAGGAACTGAAAATAGAGTTCTTATAGACAGAAGAGGAAGGAAAACAACAGGGATAAAAGAACAATGGTGCTTGTGAGAGACAACTTAAGGAAAATGGGCAAATAGTGTATTGAACGATTTGTTTTCATGTTTTACAAAGACAGTGTGATTTTGCACAATACAATAGATTAGTTTTGCCCTAATCAAGACTTCGATCTTTACTACGAAATTAACGACAATTAACAGGGAAAAAGAAAACATAAGAAGTTATCATTTTTATATTAATATAAAATAACAAGATTATGTATACAATGTAACTTTCAGTTTCAATCTGAGTAGGAATTGTTACATTGAATAAACAAACTATAGTATTACGTCCTCAACTTGATTACGACAGAATACGGTATAAAACTATTGACGCTCGAACACGTAGAACCTCCACAGTCGCAAAGCCAAGTACCGAAGAGGCAGGGAAAGCGATTATTGAGTATGAGTTAAAACTGTACAGAAAACACAGGGATATTTATAGTTTAGGGTATAGTCCAATAACATCACCCAATCGGCAAGTAGGAAAAGTAAACAATAATCCTATCGTAGTACGCCACGTTGATATTCTAGAAGGTTCCATCAGGTTCTGGTTAGATATAAACTCTTCGACACCCTTACAGCCTCTGGAGGCTTCCTCGCGTTTTTTGGGAGCCGTCCAAACAAGTAATAATTCACTTGTAATGTTATGAACTGGTAACGGCCAGTTGGAAAGGATTTTCTTATTTCACAAGACAACAACTATTTGAATCCAATATTTCAGTGGATAAAGCGTTGGATTTGAAAGCGAAAAGTATCAGGTTCCAGTCCTGGAGTGATGACCAACATTATGACGCTTGACTTCTAGACCACTGAGAAGGGACCTAGTGGTGTTTATGTCTAACTTCAGTTAATTCATAATATCACACGATCCTATCCTATTGTCTGTGATGGATAGCTATCTGTCTGGCACCTTATATGATTGAACTCTACTGGTCACAGCTTCTCTATAGAACTAAAGGAATTGCAATTACTAGTAAGTATATGATTAATAATAGTACGGGAGACATTGTGTAGTTTATTGAGTTCTCACAGACTACATCACGCACCAGTCTTAGTTGAAAAACCATTGAAAAGTACGACAAATTAGATAGCCGTTTCGTCTTAGTAAGAGACTTCACAGTAGGGTGTATCCATCTGTGGAAATTCAGAAATCTCCACAAAACCAGATCCCAGCGGAGGAAGAAATCAGGAAGAAGCGCTGGAAGTGGATAGGACACACATTGAGGAAAGCACCCAACTGCGTCACAAGACAAGCCCTCACATGGAATCCTGAAGGTCAAAGGAAAAGAGGAAGACCAAAGAACAGATTACGCCGGGAAATGGAAATAGACACGAGAAAAATGAACAAGAATTGGATGGAACTAGAAAAGAAGGCCCAGGACAGAGTGGGTTGGAGAATGCTGGTCAGCGGCCTATGCTCCATTGGGAATAACAGGCGTAAGTAAGTAAGTAAGTAAGATGTTTTACATACAGCCTAAGGAGTTATTGTTTATTATTACTCTTAAATAAGTAGGTAATGACACAATAAAAGACTATAGATTACTTGCTCTATTTACTTGTGATACTTATAAAAGCTTCATACAATTTCAAACTTAATAAGATAGCCAACCACAAAAAAGGGAATCAGAGCAAACTGATTTACGGCTTGTGAAACAATTAAGAATCTCAGAGAAAACAGATAGAATGTGGCCACCAGTGGAATCCATGATACGCGTTTGGGACTTATTAGCTGGATGTACCTGTATTCGAGAGTTGATGTTCATTTCAGGACTCGAACCCGATACTTTAAACAGACCGTTGAAAAACAAACTAAGACACTCATCCATACATGAAGTGCTTAAACACGTCTAAGAACAACAGTCGAACCATTTTATTTGGCGAAAGCCGAACGGAGTATTCACACTTTAACTGCACATTTTTTCCCATCATTTTAAAGCCGATGTCTTTCTCGCATACTTATGCATATATTTGTCTGAACACATAAACATTGATACAAAGGGTACCAAAATATATATGCATCACATGAATCATTAAATGTGTATGTGCTGGGATACCACCCGAGTGCCTAAACCGAAGCAGTTGTTTTTGCTTATGGACCTCCACTCCCAGATACTTTGACGTAGATGTTTAATCCACAAGACAGTGCAGTAACATTATGAGATACTATCTTACGGTAACCAGTGACCAAAACAATAGGTTCATACTCTATCCTGCGGGAACAAATGGCGTATGAACCAATTGTTGGTCACCGGCTTCCATGGGACTGCATCTCCTTACGATGCGCCACTGCCTTGTAGATCAGACCTTCAGGTCGAAGGCTCGAAGTGTGGCCTCCTAAGAAAACTCATTGCTACAGTTTGGGCACCCGGGCAGTATCACAGCCCTCACACATATCGAATGAGTTTTGTGTGGCGCATATGTATTTGGTGACTCCTTGTACCAATGTCTATGTGTTAAAATAAATAATAAATAACACAACGAAAACTCAACTACCTAATGGAATACAAAAAGACTTACCATTTGTATGTTGTGATAATGAATATTTTGAGGAATCAACTAAATGACTAGATGAATTCACTGTTGATATTTGAACTTCCTTGGTTGATACAGAAGCATCTGGGGATGATTCCGTGAAGGGAGAATCATACAGGACAGGTAAATTTGAACAACCTGAAACAGAACTGTTTCTACTCTAAAAAATTGAAAGATTATGGAGGAAGGGAGAAATAAGATTTGAGGTTCATCTCATATATTTCACTTCTTAGAGTAAATAACAAATCTTACGAAAGGAAACAGTAAATAAATATAAGTGAAACTATAAATTGGAACATTGACCAGTTTTTATTTTAAGATCGCGACTACAAACCACATGAAGATAAGATATATATGGTGAGACTACAATTTACGGACGAACTTTGAGCGACGCTAAAGCGGCCTTGAGAATGTCTAAATGGTTTTAAACCTGTGTGAAGAATAAGGATTGTGGTTAGAAATTATATTTAAGGTTTTCATCACGAATTGGCGTCAGATAAAATGCCAAGAGCCAAAATCCAAGACCTGTTATCATAAATCTGATTGGTTCGTCCATACTTACAGTCTCGCCATATATATATCACTGAGTTGTTAGTTAACTATTATACTTTCAGATTCTCTCTCTCATACACTACTTTTCACACTCCTCAAGCATACAACCAATACTTTGGGGTTGAACATAAATCTACTTTACAGGCTGAATGTAACACATATTCCGAAATATCTTGTTAACTAGGTACAATTGAAATGTGAAATAAGATTTAGCTCATATAGATGAAATTTATCTCTTTAAATAATGTTTATTCTTACTGGTAAGTGTTAATAGATCATGGAGAACAGTTAGGTATTCTAAGATATTAATCTCAATTGGATGATGATTGAATAAAGTTAGACAAAGTAAACCAATAGATGTCAACTTAATGATTTGTGGGTTACACAATCATTTTATGATCTGAAAGTCCTACGTTCCATCCATATGGTAGAGGTTGGTGTCATGTACACTAACAATGAGTTCTATAATCAGGATGAAACACTTGATTAATGCTACACTCTTTCAATGGTTATTTAACTAAAATCAATTCATGGTGTAAACTAAATAATAACAATAAGACAAAACTAAATTGTTATTGATCTGAAAAGAATCAACAGGGACAAAATGTATGAACTATACTATTTACAAAAGTGTTGGTGTTCAACCTTCAACACTAAGTAACACAAATGAACAGTGTAAATAATATATTTTTTGAAAAGTGTGTTTTTCACTGTACATCTAAAGATAACATTAATTCAGAGAGTGCAACTTGAAATGACTCTCCTAGTTACCTATAGTCTGAATGAATGTTATATTATTATTATTTTCTTTTCTAATGATATATATGGTATCTGAAAGCTTAACTTCTATTTTAAATCGCTTGTCAGTTCCTTAGAATCGCCAACACATGAGTACCGAAAGGCGGAGCGAAAGTGTGTAATAAGCACAGAATCTTTCATTCAAGGTTAGTTTATGTACAGAAAACACGGTTACTGAAAAATCTAAGTGTAGCCTTGATATTCTGGAGACTTCTGAAAGTATTTAACAATATTTAGTTAGACAACTGTCGAAAACCTGGAAGCACTGGACGGACGTCTCATCCTAGTATAGACCTCTTCAGCAGTGTGTATCCATCACCGAACGACATGACTAAACTCACGAACGCTAGACCCCAGACCACTAAGACCTCATTCAACGGTGTGTATCTAAATTGTGCGACCCTCATTGTCTGTAAATGTATAGATGTCTGATATCCAACTTGGTTGGACTCCGCCGGTCACAACTTCTTACTAGAATTACAAAATTTCAAGTAATATTTAAAACTGACTCAACCTATTAGCCTATATGTAACTACGGAGGAAATAAAAAATCAACAGAATGAATTTATTGTATTCTACAAAACAAATGTTATTTGTTTGAAATTGTGATGTAAGGGAACCAGCTACATGAAGTACGTCGGTTTGTATTAAATACTAAGTTAGCGAGATGTGCAACTTTTGCTGATAATTGTATACCTGTAAATCAGATACATACGTCAGTAAATTAAATGGGAATAATCGATAGTTTTTTAAGTTGTTCAACAAAATTGTCATAAGTATAGTGGAAATTCTCGAAGTTAAGCGGTTTGAATCACGAACTGATCGTGCTAAACAGCCATTGAAAACCTGGAAGCACTGGACGGCCACTTCGTCCTAGTACGCATCCGTGACTGATTTTTACAGGAAATCGAACACAGGACTTCCCACCTAGTACTTAACCTTGAGATTGCTGAATTTTGATCTAATAACGCTAATGTCTAATTCCAATTAATTTACGATATTGTGCGGTCATGGATTCGACACCTGGATGCGAGGTCATGAATGATAACTGTTAAGGAGCCTCATAACAGGACGAAATAATATAAACTATAGACATTTTATCGGGAAAAAATGCATATTTTTATTTCGTTTAACACTTTATCTATGAGAGTTGTTCAAATCGAAGAAGATAGAATGAGGTTCGAACACCTACGACTTTATTGGCCAAAAGTTAGATGTCTAACTACAAATTCATCACTATTTTGAAAATGCATACATTACATTAGTATTAACTAACTGATTGAATCACGTACATATGAATTAAAACACACGCTTTCACAGATATACTATGCTGGATAAGAAACAACTTATGAAAAAGAACAGATTATTGAGGTAATAAATATAATAATAATAATAAATTATAAACATAAGGCACAATAGTTACCAGATGTGAACTTCGATTAGGTAAAGTTGAATAAATTGCATTAGATAAATAACTTGGCTTAGGTGGAATTGCAGGGGATGTGTTGATACTAGAATAGTAATAGGAATACAAGAGTTTTTGATTGTTGAAGACATTGTGCCAGTTTCATTAGTAGCCGTGATAGGACTAGAAGTATTGAGGGATTCAGAAATTATTGGCTTTCTTCCAAGACATCCAGGATTATGTCAATATGATCACTAGGCAATGATTTCTCATGATCAGTTGAGGCTAAACAGAATTTTCGGTGCAAAATAAACGAAGACTTTAATAAAGAGAAAGAAAAACGTCCAAAAGACCAATACAGGAGAATTCATTTTGGAATGTGCAGTTTGGTGTTTTACATAAGAGAAATACCCAGTGTTCTCCCAAGAACCCATTTGTGAATTGAAACAGTCAATACGTAGATTCTCAAGGTGACATATCATGCTGCCGATACATACACTCAAACTTTCTTTTTAGCTGATTCGATAACCCCAAACAACTACACGACAACTTCAACACTAAAGAGAAGGGCTGAATCGAGAGTAAAAGCTTACTCCAAGGTTAGTTTATGTATAGGAAAACGATGGTACTTTTAGGATTACACGACCTTGGGTAGTCAATATTTTTTTTAAGAAGTCACACTCTCTAATTATTTGACGTGATGATTTAATCCAACAGAGCAATGAAGTAGAGCAACATCATGAGATGCCAATGACAAAACGAGAATAAGTTCATATGCCTTTCTTTTCCCATGAGATCTAGAAGCTCTTGTAAACTATTAGTTTGAAAACAGGGTTTCACAACATTTTCTTCTGCCTCATTCCCCAATAGGTGAACTCACTCTATTCACAAACTATGTTTAACCATAGGACATTTGCTTTCCGTATACACCATTTTCGCACTGTGTTAGAACAGTTAATGAGATCTTTTTGAGAGAGGACTGTATCATGGAAACTAACTAGTTTTTCTTTTTCAAAATATCCTCAAAAGGTTGATTATTAACTATGATGGTTTGATGATTAATTATTTAGTGAACTATTTGGTAGACAAAATTAAAACAACCGAAAATTGACAAGTACTTTCGAATAATCAATAAAATTGTGTTCTAATTTAGACGATAAATTCTGACAATAATGAGTTTTAGTGATTTCTTTTCTTAAAACGATTTAATAGTGTGTGTAGACCACCTACCTACCTAACGACATGGACTTTTCGAATCGAACGGAAATATCAAGTTTTCTATGGTGAAAAAAGTGTTCATTATTTGCATTAAGTAATCATGAAAAAAGGTGATTATTCAGTGAAAAATTGTAGCGTATCAACCTATTAATGTTAAATTCAGGTGCAATATTGAGGATTTATCTGTTTATCAGAAGAAAGTTAAGGGTAGTCAAACCAAAATGTGGCAATCATTGAAGTCACTAACTCCTAGTCTGAGCCATGTTGGTAGATGCACGCTACTTCGTCGGGGTTCACGTGACTATCGTAACTAATGGTTGGAGACTCTGTCACATGGCTCATAATCGATCACAATGACGTAGGTGTATACACTCTCGGTCTTCCCTTAAACTGTGAGTTTAAAATTGCTATATATTTTTCTTTCTGTACTATATCCTTATACACAATATTTCTTTTACATATTACTACCACTGAAGTGACTACTTCTATGAATTTGGTGTTGATCTTGTTGTGCTAATGAGTGAGGCGTGGCAACTTGGACCGATGCATATATGTGCCTGGTCCTACGTTTTAGATGACTGACTGTTCATTTCTTGGGTGAATATTGCGTTGAGGATTTCATTTTTAGCTGTAAAATTCCCGTTATTTATTTTATACTTATTCGATAAATTATGTTTGTAGAGAACATATCTAGATAATTCATCTTATATTGGTTGTTTGAATCTTCTCATGTCATGTTTAATACTGTAATTGATTGGTCTTTCTTGTTATATACGGAAGAATAATGAGTGGTAACTGTTAGGATTGTTATTATATACATTCTTATTGCATAACCATTAAGTAATTATGTTATATGTATATTCATATTCCTTTAATTATAGGCTTCCGTTTGACCTATTGACTACCAGTATACGATTTACTATCCCTGAGTTATTCCAAATTTAATAGCTACAGTCCTAAATAGAACGAAACAACGAGCATCCTGTATTCAACTTCTAGAAATCACCTATCTTTGTTTATATATATATATATATATATATATATATATATATATATATAGCTTTAAATGATTAAAATGGATTCGAATCTCGCGAGGCGGGATCATGGATGCGCACTGCTAAGGAGTCCCACACAGTAGGACGAAACGGCCGTCCAGTGATTCCAGATTTTCCATGGTGGTCTAGCTTCATAATCTCAACTATTAAAATGGACGAGAAAAATGTTCGAAAGTACTAGATATTTCACTTTTATTGAACAATGTAAAAAGAGGAATGATTATTCTATCCTTGAATATATAAAGTACTTGGGATAACGTTCAAATTTATTAATGAAATGAGTAAAAAAAACATGTATTATTGATTGAAACATCCTGTCATCGATTTCATCTACAACAGTAACCTGGTGATGAAGCTAATCGATAAGAGATGAACAATTTTATTAACATTAACATGATAATATTATAAGAAAATATTATTCAAATCTCCCATCTATCAGCCATAAACTGTCAGTAACACTGAATAAAACGAATGACGAATTTATGTGTTTATAAAATAAAAACACCTTGTTCATGTCTCTATGTTATGGTGCAGTTAACACACACACACACACACACAATTGCATATATTATTGACATGATGAGTCTAAAATTATGGGTGATTTTATGAAAACGATCACAAAATAGTGCAGAGAACAGTTGAAAATTATTATTTGTGAATTATAAATAAATAATTAAATACGTATATTGTTGATCGTAAGTTGCTTGTAGATGACTTAAGTTACTTTCTAACGACAGTTATCGCAAAATACATTATGATATATATGCCCACACACAGCCATGCGTATATAACCAATGTCAGAGAAGTGTATTCCCTGCTTTCATGCGACAGTACTGTTGTTTACGAAATTGAGAGGATGAAAAGCGAATGTCCGGTGCTTTAACCTGGTTGGTGGACATGAAGGGTCGGCCTATACGAGTTAGAAAATACTGACTGCAAACTAATGGAACACATGAGCTCCGTTATCCTAAGACAATAAATGGCATATGAATTTATTGCTGGTCACCGGCTACCATAAGGTAGCATCTCCCAAAGTTGCTCCACTGCCTTATAGATTAGATCTCTGGGTCAAAGACTCGGGGAGTGCCTCCTCAAGAAAATAACCTGCTTCGGTATGGTCATCCGGGCGATATCCTAGCCCTCACGCAAATCAAATGAAGCAGTGTGGCGCATACATATTTTGTGCCTCCTTGTACCAATGTTTATGTGTTTAAATGAACTAAATGAAAAATAAAGATTAAATAAAATAAAAAGATTGAAAAGTCAATCCTAACATACCACTGACGACAACAAATCACTAAAGAGAAAATGTTAAAGAGGGGAGATGCAAAATACTAAGAATATTCTGGACGAGAGAAGCTGTTGGAAAACTATTGTGAGATAGGCACAAAAATTAATACGTTTCAATAACATGCCCAAAAATCGGGTCACCACGTTCAGGTTTCTCAGTTGACTGAAGAGAGAGCATGAACCACAAAAAATTACTATTTTCCTGAGGAATGATATAAGAAGGCTTTTATACAAGTTTCAAATTCTCACCTTAGTTAGCGGTCATGGAAGAAAAGAGAAGAGACAGTCCCATGTATTGTAGTGGGATTTGGAGTTAAGAATAAGTCTAACAGAGTAAACAAACCTACCAGATCTTGAAAGAACCTGTTAATTTAATCACTTATATGCAGTTTTTGGTGTCTACCTTGGTCAAAGCCAAAGTGAAGGAAATGATAATGATATCTATGTTAAATTCATCACATCACAAAGGGTCGAACTTAAGACCTCCGACAGCGTTCGCAAACGCTTAACCTCTACACCACTGAGTCAGCATCCAACGAAGTTAGGTGTCTAACTTCAATCAATCCATGATATTGCTCGACCATCTTTCATTGTCTTCAATACACACAACAGAGAAGAAACAATTATCCAGTTGCTTTCCTAGTTTTCGATATTTATCAAACTAAAATCAAACCGTGGTGTACAAGATGGAATTATGTCTTGATAAAACAAACATATTATTATCAGTACAGGGTTTTAGAAATTGTTGAGTTTTAAATGAGATCATGGACCGATCAATGTTAGACCACCACTGAAAACCTGGAAGTACTGGACGGCCGACTTGTCTTAGTACAGGGTTCCTCAGCCGTGCAAATCCACGATCGTGAACGCGATACTAGAACCCAGGACCTACAGTCTTGTACACGAACGCTTAACCTCTAGATTACTGAGCCATGAATAATAGAGTTCAAACGTGTCAAGTGTGAGGCAGTTACTCGCCGAAGACAATGGAGGATGGTCGCGCAATATCTTAAACGTATTATTAGTTACATATATACTATGAACACAACTTACAACATGATGTACGACTATTATCCAACCGATTGAAGGTACTCCAACACTACGAAAATGAAAAAAAAAACAAAGTATACGATGAATATTTAAGGTACATATCAACTAAATAACAATAACTCGAATCGACACTAAAACGATGAGCAATAAATTAAAAACTTAGTAGTGCATTGTATCAACAGTGCATATTTATATGATCAAGAAATGAAATGGAAAGTGAAAATTGCAAGTGTTTCGAATTTTGAAACCGATAACAAGTGTATTTGTGTATAGTTATTACGTTGAATGAAGTGAATATACACACATATATATACATATAATATAACCCACCTCGGATTCAAAACCTTGAAATGCCATTTCTTTTATAAACATGGCAACCTAATGTAAAACAATCAGGGGAATTCATCAAAAAAAGCGTTATTTACACCCGTTTATGATGAATATTATCAAAAATGAAGTTGGAAGCATAGAGCATGTGATCAATTATTAACAACTGAACAAAACGAAAACTATTTGTTGCTTACACCAGTACTGTTAATTGGCATTCCACTCCGATCATTCATTTGATCATCTACAGATGGTGGACGAGGTGCAGGACCTTTTTTACGTGGTAATGTAGCCAGTGCACTACCATAATGAATTGAAGGTGAATACTGACTGTAAGCTAGACAATAAAGAAGATGAAATGATAATAATAGTATTGACGTTTTCGGTCACGATAAACATAATGAATGGTAACTTTGGGATCCTCTTATGGACCAATACTAAACGTATATTTTTATCGTATGATTGTTAAATAACTAAACTATTCATATTCCTCTTATTATAAGCTTTATTTTGACCTCTGAACCATTATTATACGTTTTACCATTCTTGAATTATGTCGTGTCTATTAGTCACTGCCTCCCACATTCACAGCCACATTTGGCCAAATTTTGTACAAATGTTATTTCCTATTTAATGCTACGTTGTGGTCTGTTCGATTGGTATATAAACTCAGTATGTTTGAAATATAAGTATTCATATTGCTGAGGCTGAGACTGGTGTTCTGGACTTAGCTGGCTGAGCTAGGCGGGAAACAGGACCAATCAGGATTCTAGGCTGCTCGCACGTGTTTTACGCATCCTTGGTCCGATAGACAATTCGCTGCTTCTGACTGGCGGCTTTGGGCTATAACATGACGTCAATAAGTTCACATGATAATGAAGAAGAGATATTAACTTAAAATTTAATGCAAACTTTTGTGTTGGATGGTTGTCTGATTCTGTTACTTGGATGTATGTTTCCTGTATGAGATCCTAACCTGTTACTAGAACGAGAAGATATATAATGAACAGGAAGCTTTGCTGGTAAATTCGAATCAAAATATGTATACAACTCTCATAAATATAGACATATATACATCGGAAAATTGAGCGAAACATGGACGGATAGAAAGCACCCACTACTCGATCGGATTGGCTCAACTTATTACAAACAAACCGAAAGCACTAGACTTCAACTAATATTAAGTTTTCAAACTCGGTGATGATCAAAATGTGTAATACTCATAATGTAAGCAGATAATGCGTTATGCGTGATAACCACGAACAGCGATTGAGGACGTTGGGTGAGAGCACATATACATTCATACTTACTATGAACCTTGAGTCCCAGTATTCCTTCACATGTACCATTGCATAACATGTTCTCAATATTTAGTCTTTCTCATTATCATTGCTACTAGATTAGTCCAATATCCTTTGCTATTCATCCTATTAACTTCATTACTTCATGGTAATGTGGTTTGACATAATGAACAAGTGTATTTATTATTTATTTTAACATAGATATTGTTACAAGGAGGCACCAAATACATATGCACCACACAAATCTCACTCGATATGCGTGAGGGCTGTGATACTGCCCGGGTGCCCAAACGAAGCCAGTGGGTTTTCTAAGGGGGCCACTCCCCAGAGCCTTCGACCTGAAGGTCTGATCCACAAGGCAGTGGAGCATCGTAATTAGATGCAGTCCCATGGAAGCCGGTGACCAACAATTGGTTCATACCCCATTTGTTCCCGCAAGATACTGGAGCCCATGTGCACCATTGGTTCGGAATCCAGGTTAAAGCGCCGGACATTCGCTTTTCGTCCTCTCATTTTCGTAAACAACACCCGTGGTGTGAGAAGGCAGTGAGTAGGACTTCCCTGGCAGAGGTTATACACGCGTGGCCATGTGAGAGCATTTCGAGAGGGAGAGCGGACTCTCCCCACTCTCGGCCGTACCAAAGCACATTTATATCAGTTTTTATGTTGATTATGACCAGCTGAATGAGAGATAACTAGATTAGTATTGAGTCTAAATATTGATTAAAAATAGTTAATAAGGGGAATATGCTACTCTAACATTTTCAGTTATTTGAATTCTTAACTTGTGAATTATAAACTTAATATCATTTGGTCCAGAATGACTATTCTAGAGTGTAAACAACTCAGAAGAAACAATAGCCCACATAACTCCTTCTAACAATACGCGAGATTATCTGGTTTATTATTAAATTCTTCATTCACTTCATAATATTACTTCTATCTCTAATATCGACTTTCCCTCCCCATAGCTTTAACATACTAAACATGATCAGTGGTTAAAGATGTTTGTTTTTTGTATCTTAGTGAATAAAATGAGTAAAATATGAGCAGATATTATGTAAATTTGTATAGCAGAGTAGAAAGGAAAACACTTACATCTTGTAGGTTTATTTAATGAAGTTGGTGTGACACTGTTACCTGTGGTACATATATTTTCATCAAAGGTTATTTGTTTCCCAGTTGAATTTGGTTTCGGTGTATACGATTCACATGGATTACGAGTAGAAATCTACAGTTGTAGTTAATTAATTTTTTTTTCCAATTCCAGAATGGATGCACAGCACAAAAAAGAAGAGGAAGGTAGATGTAGATGTTAGCAAAAAGATTTGCCACATAAAAAAACACAATAAGAATCGCATTGACATCACGAACCAATTTAAATTAGATAACTATTAAAAACCTGAAGGAATAGAGCATTTATTTTGTCCTCAGCAGCGAGCATCCACAACTGCACAACCGACGATCGAACTCAGGGCCTTCGATTTTGCGTGCAATAGCCCAGGACCTAATCGTATACAAGTTTAACTTCAATCAATCCATGATACTGCGCAATCATCTTCCATTGTCTTTATTGGGTACCTTGCCTTAGTCACATCTGGTCACGAATTTTCACTAGAGCTTGGAAAATTTCCCTTCAAAGCAAGTCACTAGTAAGCACATGATAATTACCAATATGGAGATGTCAGGATTGCTGAACTTCGGTTAACTCAAATCCTAATAGTCAATGTATTGTGAACATTTACTGATTTGTTTGATTTATGCAAAAGACAATGACATAAATGTCAGCTGTTTCATAAATTTACGATGATTAAAACCATAAAATCAGTTAATTTTTAAAACGTTTACAATCGAAAAAGACGTAAAAGAGTAGTAGTAGTAGTAGTTATAAGTAGTACAGTTAATTTGTTCATTCATTATGAGATTGTTTTGAGATGATGGAGAATGATTTACAGCTCCGGATGAGTATTCCATATGTATTTCATGTCCAGTTATCTGAATAGTTTAGTAATGAAGATTTTCAATGTCTGTATGCTTGTTTTTTTTAAAAGTATGTGATAATCATATTGTCTGGGAAGACAATAATATTTTTACGACTGAACCATACAGCTCAGAGAATGTAACAAATTCAAAATGTAATAATTTATTGAGCTTAAGGTTGTCGTTTCTAGTAAGATTTTAGTACTGTTAACGAAATTTGAGTAAACTTGTAATCGCCTTTATTTATTTGAACATATAAATATTGGTAGAAAGGGGTACCGAAAACATACGCGCCACACAAGTCACTTGGTTTGTGTATGAGCTATGATAATGCCCAGGTGATGGTTTTCTTAGGAGACCACTCTCTGAGTCTTTGACCTAGAGATCTAATCTACAAGGCAGTGGAGCAACTATAGGAGATGCTATTTTATGGTAGCCGGTGACCAGCAATAGATTCATATGTCATTTATTGTCTCAGGATCATGGAGCTCAAGTGTTCCATTGGTTTGCAATCAGGATTTTCTAACTCCCCTAGGTGGATATCCTATAGCTACCGACTTCGTTGAAGCGTCAGACATTAGCTTTTTGTCCTCTCATTTATGAAATATTACTCACCAAGTAAGGAGACTCCGCTCTCCCTCTCGAAATGCTCTCATATGGCCACTTATATATAGCATCTGCCAGGGAAGTCCTAACCACTCTCTTCTCGAGCCAGAGGTGTTGTCTACAAATTGATAGAACAAAAAGTGAATGTCCGGGAGGAGGCTTAATCCAGGTTGGTGGGTACGGAGCATCCACCTAAAAGAGTAAAAAGCAAACCTGATTCCAAGCTAGTGGTGCACATAATTTTCAGGATCCTAAGAGAACAAATAGCGTATGAATGTATTGTTGGTCATTGACCACCAAGGGATCAAGTCTCCTAACATTGTTCCACTATTTTCTTCATGGATTAAACCTCTAGATCAAAGGCTTGGATAGTGACTTCTTAAAAAAACTACCTACTTCAATGTAGACTACCGGACAGTATCCTAACTACCTTTGTGTGTCATATATATTTTTTGTTTAAATAAATAAATAAATTATAATAAATCACTCACCAATTGATTAACACATTTCATTATAGGAGACAATGAAAATGTTCCTAATTGATAATTATTATTATGAGTTGTTTCTAATTTATTTGATATAGGTACATTTGTAATATTTGGTGAACTAGCTGTAACCAATGTATTTGTAGTCATTGTTATTATCTTTTTATCTATATTATCTTTATAGAAATAATGATTTTTTTCATTATTTATAAATTGAACTGTTGATGTTGTCAATAATGTTGTTACTGATGCTGATGATGATGTTGTTATGATGAAATATTTAATGGATACCAATTGATTGAATTTAATTGATTTAATAATTCTATTAAATTATTACGATAATTTGATAATTTATCAATAGATCCATTTGTATTAGAAAATAATGAACCAATAGAATCAGTAATTAAACAATTATTTTTACATGAATTATTAGATGCAATGAAATTAGCTAATTTAAGAATATGTTGACAATTTTTATAAGCATCTAATAACAATATATGATTGTTATTATTATTATTATTATTATTAGTAGTAGTAGTAGTAGCAGTAGTATTAGTATTATTTAATTTGTATTGTATTAATGCATTTTCTACAATATCTAATGCTGTTTGACCATTATGATTAGTTAATTGGAGTATCTGTAGAAGATAGAGAGAAGGGGGGGGTGTTGAGAAAAAGAAGTATAAAACACGTACATTAGAAAAAAATAACTGACTGTAAACAGGTACTTCACTTAAAATGTAAATCGATTCAGTGCCAGTTATTTATGATAAAGTCAGTCAGTCATCTACAACGTAGGACCAGGCACATATATGCATCGGTCCAAGTTGACATAACTCAGTAGCACAACAAGATCAAAACCAAATTTATAGAGGTAGTCACTTCAATGGTAGTAATGTATAAAAGAAAGATTGTGTATAAGGATATAGTACAGGAAGAAGGAATTAGTTTGTAGAAAGAAAGATATAAGCAATTTTAACCTCAGAGTTTAAGGGAAGACAGAGAGTGTATACACCTACGTCATTGTGATAAATTGTGAGCCATGTCACAGAGTCTCCAACCATTAGTTACGATAGTCACGTGGACCCCAACCAAGTAGTCTGATGAAAGTAGAGTCCGGAACAAATATGTACTACCATATCACATTGAGAAGATGAAATGAATTTTTTTTAAAAAAAGACAAGTTGAACAAAGAAATAATTCCTTTGAATTAATTCTTTACCAGAGCCCTATACTAATATAATGGCCACGTTTCACGAACTACTGTACAATATACTCATCCCTTAATTGATAGACGGATAATCTCATCTTCGTCGTACGTGACGTAAGTTGACAAAACCCAAACGACCTTTTTGAATCCTTGTTGAGATTTCGCCAGACACCAACCCATTAGGGGTAATCAGACTTCTGAGATAAGTGAAATTGTCCATGCGTTAGACTACTACACCATCTATCCCTAGTTCAGGTGTTGACATAGGCCAGTCCTGAAATAAAATTTGCATTTACAGGGGTAGAAACGTATGCCAAACATCCTGACATTGTTGCTCAATGCTACCAAAAGACTTTGCATTTTATCAGCGTCTACACCAAACAGGACTATGTCATTTGCGTATTCTAAGTCAGTGAATGGACCTCCTGGTATGGGGATCAATTCCTGAAAATTCAGACGACGAAAGTGCTATTTCCAGCAGTAGGTCTATGATGAAACTAAACAAAAATAGAGATAGACAGCCCTGTGGGACATCACTTGAGGTTACAAAATCAGATGACAGTTCGCCGTTGTAGTCTTCGTGTAAAGAGCCTTTACAAGGTTTATGTATTTCTGAGGTACACCTTTCAATTATTGACAATGCCACAAAACCTCTAAATTTACAGAGTTAAATTTTGCTTTTAAGTCACTTCAACAATGTAATCATTAGTTAGTTACACAATGTTTGTAAAATTAAAATTGAAACTAAGTTGCATTTTCGTAATCAGTTAATTATTACAGGTAGTTACATAAGTGTAGGAATCGAAATTGAAATAGGACGTAAACGTAAATGTTTTTTTGTTAATTGTGAGACTTTGGTTTCTAATTCTAAGTTTACGTAACAGATTTGATAATTTTATTATCTAATTTTCACTGCGGTAATTAATTATAGACCAATTACTCAGTTTTGTTTTACTCATGACGAATGAGTGAACATCTACCAACTTGGTACATAAAGGGCCAGAGAAAATCTATTCGCAGTTCTATATTGGCACATCTTATTGATAGCGGTCATGCAGTAGATAAATCGAAATCATTTCGAGTTATCTATCGTATACCTTCATCATTTCCCGACGGAGTCCGTTCCCGTCTCCTACAAATAGCTGAAGCCATCGGAATTCGTACATATAACCCCAATTTATGTGTACAGAAGAAATACGTGACCCCCCTATCCCTTCTATGGCCAGTTATAACTTAACTGACAATTTTTATTTTATTATTATCATTATTTATTTTATTCTATTTGTGTTATCGTTAACCTTATTTCCACATCCATTATTTGTTTGTAATTTTCCCCTTTTTGTATTCTTCACTATCTAATTATTTACACACATCTTATTACGTAATGATTTTAATGTTTTGTGATTACTATTCCTAGACTATTTACCCATGTTTGTTTGACCTTCTATTGCCAACGTTTAACTATTGATAAGAGTTTTGTTATTGTATTTTATTATTCTCACTATTATCCGTTCACCTGTCTTCCTACTATAAACTTGTACTTTTACCTATTATGTGCAGTGACTTATTCTATTTCATTGTGATTATTGACCATATTGCCTTGATTGGTTTAACATTTTCGTATAAATATTCATGTATATTGGAGTAAAGCCTGATGACGATCTAATTGAAAACAATTGTTCCATTATATGTGTTGTTCTAATTTTCACAATGGGAATCTTTAGTACTTAAGACTTAATCAAATACACATTGTAATATCTGATATGTATTGTTGTGCAGTCAGGTATTTAATGTATATTATCGAATTTATATTTAGCTATAAAGAATAGAGGGTAGATTGCTAATATAAGATAGATCTGGCTGTCGTATTCGTGTTCTGAATGATTATTAAAGTAGGTATGTGTTGAACCGTTAGGGATAAGTAATTCGCAGCCGTTGACATATTGTGGTCAGGAAAAAGTTATACTGTCACTAGATAAAGAGAATGTCTATGATGCTGATTAGACATAAACTGAACAAGTCATTAAACATACCTATAATCCAACCACTCTATAATTAGTAACCCGATCGTGCTGACAGTAATGTAACAACAATATGAGGTAACAAGCTCGTCGATGTGTTCAGATATCATGAAGCTCGAACATAACAGAAAAAAATAGATACTTACTGGTGTTGGAATCCCGCCAGCTTGAACAATTAATTTTAATGCATCCACACATCCATAACGAGCGGCATGATGTAGTGCTGTATCACCCAATTTATTGGCACGTTTTAAGCTACCTCTTCAAATGTAAATATACAACACCAATATCAGATAAAAAAGCTAAAAGAACACTGATAATTGTAATTTGAACAAACAAGACATTATTTGAGATTTCCCTTAAAATCGAGAAGTAGATCAAAAAGCGAAATAAAATATATGAAAATGAAACAGACCAACTCAACGCTGGAAGTATCCAATCACTAATCACATGAATATATATAGACTTTGATCTTGTTCGGTTATTATTGACACATGTGCCCTAGTATTGTTTACATATCTGTTTTGATTGCCACCCCTTTTGACTTGATTCTTGAAATGTTAGTTGTCGGTGAATTTTTTTGGATCGGCTGTGTTATATTCAAACGAAGAATAAATGAATGGTAACATCTAGGAATTGTTTATGGGCTATTATTATATATTCTTATTGGATTACTATTAAGTAACTACATTATATGTATATCCATATTCCTTCTACCATAAAACAGGTTGATAAATTGTATCTTCCCTCTTTTGAATACAGTTTGTAGGTAGTTGAAATATGCCAATAGCTCACTCTTTACTGAACTTAGTGCCAATGATGTGGTATAAAAAAGGAATCGATGATTAAACCACTCTGAGATCAGAGAACGAAACGTTACCAGAATTTCTCCTAATGGGTGATATGATATAAAATTCTTTCACTCTTAAATATCGTGTTAAAGTAATCCTTTTCTTGATTTTGACTGGTTTATCCCTATACTACACTTTCATTACACGTTTTAGTTCAACGTAAACCCTATAGAAAAAATATTGAGTTTAAAAAAATTGAAACCGCATTTAAGAAATGCAGAAAGACATATAGGATTGTACGGATCAATTTCAGCAAGTCACAACCTTAATTTGTGAACAAAGTCAGAGGTCAACTAATTCACAGGCATTTATTAAAGCGGGGTAGCGACTAGGAGTGGAATCAATGGAGTGAGTTTCATCCTGTCTGGGGCCCGTAAACCGGATGTACCTGTGTCTTAGTGTTGATATTTACGAGAAAACATACGAATGTTTCCAAACTGAATTCCTGTCTATTGCATATATCATTAGTAAGCTACTCATTGTTTCAAGTATCCATTAAGTTAATGAGTTAAGATAGTTATTAACTGAATAGATTAATTTAAGTTCTTACACATTAACCTACAAACGCTGAGTAGATTAGTGCCTATCTAGACTCACTAGGCTAAATGGATACCACAATAGTCGTCTAAAGTGAAGTTCAAGTCTTGATGTGAACATCAACACTGAGATATAGAAAATATATCCAGCTTTAAGAAACCAAGTAGGATGAAACTTGAGTCCTGGATTCCACTACAGGCCACAATCCACCTTTAATTTTTTTTTAAAATCTAGCAACTTAATAGTAATATCAAGGATACACAAATACCAATATAAAAACTGATCAATTCCAGTCCTTAATAAAAAACCGTAGGAAATTACGATACAATTTAAATAGAATTCATAAACAGTTTACAATAGCTTACTCATACTACATGCAATAAACACATACATACACACGACATCCACTATTCATCCATTCAAAGTGGGGGGGGGAAAAGTCAGTTGCAAAATGAGAGAAAAGGAAGGATCAACAGCCCCCCTCTTCAAAAAGAAAACAACATCGGGTCAATTTATAAAACAGTATTATATATACAGGAGAATTTTTTCAAAAACAAAAAAACAAAACAAGTTGTCTATAAATAAACAAAAACATATCGAAATGTATAAATGCGCACATATACACACATAATACACTTGTAAGTGAATTGGTAAATAGTCTCTGTGTATCTAAAGCCTGTGTTTTACATTTACAAAATCGAGGCGATGATTCATTACCGCTAATCAAATGTTTCGCTTAAGGGAAAAAAATGCACAATGAGAATGTGTATTAAGTGGAAGAATGAAAATATCCTAAAGTATGAAGTAGGGGATGATTTTCGCTGATCATTCATGAGTGTTACATCTGAACGACGAAAAAGTGAATGGTAACTATTGTATAACTATTAAGTAACTGTATTATATGTACATAGATGTTCCTTTTATTATAAGCTTTCATTTGAACTGTTGGCTACTGTTATACGAATTACTGTTCTTGAGTAATTCCAAATCATTTAGTTACAGTCTTCTGTACTCACATCCACTTTTAACTTGATCTTCTATAATTACTATATTCTGTTTCATGGCATGATGCGGTATGGTCTGCTTGTATATAAACTATGTATGTCTGAAATATATACGATTCATACAGTGGAGGCTGAGATTTTGTTTTACACTCAAACGGGCAGGGCTAGGTGAGAGGGACCAATTAGGATTCCGAGTTGACGTATAGCTGCTCGTGCTGCCTAACTGTCTGTCAACCAATACAAAATTCGGAATCTTCAATACGAACGTCAAGACAGTTCTACTTTATGGAATTGAAACATGGAGAACTACTTCACCCACCATCAAAAGAGTGCACACAATTATAAACGGTTTTCTACGTAAAATATTCCAGATCCATAGGCCAGACACCACCAACAACAACCTACTTCCAAGTCAACAAGAAAGTAAGAAAAGACGCTGTAGGTGGATAGGACATACATTACGGAAATCATCAAGCGGAATCACTAGGCAAGTGCTAACTCGGAATCCTAAAGGCGAAGGTCAAAGAGGAAGACTAAGGAGCACATTGCGTCAAGAATCGGACGCAGACATCAACGAATGAATAGCGACTGCAAACAACTAGGAAGGGGAGCTCAGGACAGAGTTGCTTGGAGAATACTCGTCAGCGGCTTCTGATCTCAACGAAAGGTAACAGGCGTAAGTAGTATCACACCAGTATAGAATTATTGATTGAACTTTACAGTAGCAGTTTATCTCAGTCAGTCAGTCAGTAACAACGTAGAACTTCGTACGTACGTACATCAGTTCGAGTTGCCACACCACATTAGCACAGAGATGCACTTGTCGATTCAAATCCCGTCGTGGTAGAGGTAATAAGAGTATAAGCAGTAATCGGGAAGATTAGGGTTTGGAGATGTTATTTAAAGAGTATAATCCAGTGAAAGAAATTTGGAAAGAGGAAAAAAAGGGACATGAAGAATTCAGAAGATTAGAATTTGGGAGAACACAGAGAGTGGATGCACCTGCGCCATTGCAAACGATTTTGAGCCATGTCATTCAGGGTCTCTAACCAACGGTTGCTGTCATCTCGCGGTCCCCAACCAGGTAGTCTACACCTACCAACATGACTCAGTTCACTTGTCAGTGACTTCATGGACTTGTGCCATGTTTTGGTTTGGCCGCCCCTAGCTTTCTTCCAACCTACTCCTATACCACTGAACATAGCACGTCGAGGCAGTCGGTCGTTGGGCATACGTAACACGTGTCCCAGCCATCTCAACTGATGAAGTTTCACTACGTCATCAATTGATTTGCCATCCTTACCTAGTACCCGTTTCCTAACAACTGTGTTACTTACTCGATGGTCCCATGATATATGAGCAATGTTTCGAAGACACCTATGATCAAATACTAGTAACCTACGGATATCCTCTACTCTTACCGGCCATGTTTCACTCCCATAAAGTAGGACGGAACGAACTGCTGCGCAGTAAACACGTCCTTTGGTTGATAGACGGATATCTCGCCTACGCCATAAATGACGCAAGTTGGCAAAAGCTAATCGAGCCTTCTGTATCCGTGCTGAGATTTCGTCACACACTAAACCACAAGGGCTGATGAGACTTCCAAGATAAGTGAAGCGGTCGACACACTCAACTACTTCACTCCCTATCACTAGTTCGGGTGTCGATGTAACCCAATCCTGAAGCAACATTTTGCATTTCGAGGGAGCGAATCGCATCCCGAACATGCTTGCATTGTTGCTTAGAGTGGCCAGAAGACTCTGCATTTTGTCAGTGTCTTCACCAAATAAAACGATGTCATCAGCATATTCTAAGTCAACAAGTGAACCTCCTGGTAGAAGTTCAACCCCTGTAAATTTAGATGAGGAGAGTGTTATCTCTAAAAGTACGTCGACCACAAAGTTGAACAAGAATGGGGAGAGTGGACAGCCCTGACGAACACCACTTGAGGTGATCAATTCTGATGACAGTTCGCCATAAGCTCTCACTCGACCAGTTGTGTTCGAGTAGAGAGCCTTTATAAGGTTAATGTACTTCTTTGGTACTCCTTTCAGTGACAAACACTGCCATAGAACCTCACGATCAATCGAGTCGAATGCCGCCTTAAGGTCGAGAAATACTACCATTGTGGGGCGTCTGAATGTGTGTCTGTGTTCTAGAACCTGACGTAGTGTGAATATCTGATCTATACAACCACGTCCAGGTCGAAAACCAGCCTGGTTTTCTCTAGTCTGCTCTTCACGAGCTTTAGTTAGGCGTCGAAGTATTATTGAAGCTAATATTTTAGACACTATATTAGTCAAACTGATTCCTCTGTGATTGTCACAAGAGGACTTTTGTCCTTTCTTAAAAACTGGCACAATCAGTGATTGAGACCAGTCAGATGGGATTACGTCCAGTTCCCAAATTCTACCTAAGACCTCAGTTAATCTCATTGCTAATACTGGACCACCATCCTTAAAAATCTCAGGAGTAAACCTGTCAGGGCCTGCTGCTCTCCCGATCACCGCGTCAAGGTAGCAGCTTCGATCGAGAGTTTATCTACTTGTTGTCATCTTGTTCTATACTGAATATCGAGTAAGCACGTATGAGAGAAACTGTATCCTGAACTAAAAGGCACTAAGTATTGATCTCAATTGTCATCTCACTATCCTTAGGTAATTGATCAAAAGAAAATGATTGGTCCTATACAGATAATCTGCAAGAAGTAATCAATAATCGGACTATATAAAACTCTATTCAATTATTAATGACCTGATCACACAAGACTCAATACCATTTAAGTACATCTACGATTTTTGACATTACACATACAACAAAGGAATAATAAAAACAGAAAAACAAAAGAAACGGGATGAACTCACGATGAAGAATTTTGTAAGATGAATTCCACTAATGGTAAATTATTATGTGGTGATTTCTCAAATTCATGATTATCAATTACACTCCATGTGGTTGCTTCACGATTACTACTATTATCAAAATTTAAAAATGATTCAGTTATTTGTTGTTGTTGTTCACTTAAATCGGATACATTAACCTTGTTTTCATGAGAATAATTTAATCTGGATTTTATTAAAAATCTACTAGTTTTCTCAACAGCTATATGTAATGCAGTTGTTCCAGGCAAAAGTGAATAAGAATCATCATCATTATCTTCTGGTTGAAATGGTGTCATAAGATCTAGTCGTTCAGCGAATACCTATGAATAGAACGAAAAAATAATGAAGTGATGAATTAAAATGACTTGATTAATCCAATAATCAGTAAGCATAATTGAGCCGTTTAGTTATTATCAACGTAGAACCTGGTAAATATGTGCTTGACCAAAGTTAAATAGTTGAAATTACGTAGTAGTGTTGAACACTGAGAATATGGTTCGCGAAGACAGGAAAAAAGAATGTATGAAGGAATATTAAGACATGAAGAGTTATGTCACGTTTTAGTTTGGTTGTCCCTAAATCTCTTTCAAATAGTAGTTCACGTTACAGGAGGACCTCATCAAATGTGGGCGGATTGCCTCGAAAGAATTATTCAACAAAAATAATCTACACGATAAAATATATGGAAGCAAAGAGAGGAGTTTGAATCGAAAACTTATGCACTGTTCTGGTGAGGTATTGTAAATCCACCAATTCAAACCTTAAATTTGCATGCCGAAGCAACACGTACAACCTTTCATTCTTCCATGAGCTTAATTCTCTTCTGCAGTACATCTTGGTCTTAATTTTGTTTCTATAATTACTTTGTACTTCTTTAAAACTGTTATTTTAAGCAGAGATGGATAGTGAATAGGAGTAGAATTCACAACGCGCCGTTTCGTTCCATTTCTGTTTCGTCAGCTTGATGTACCTACCACATCCAAGAGTTGACGTTCACTCTTAGATAAGAATATATCCATTTAGCTACTGAGTTCAGATAGCTACTGCCTTGTTTAATGGAATGAATTTTCATTACATTTGTTTGTTTCTCCCGATTGTTGTTTAGAACTGTGATCAGTTATGATTTATCCTCTAACAAATTCCCGTGATTATTGTTTAATTGCTAGGTGGACAATTACCACGCATATTTGTGACCTGTAAAATATTTTCATTCTCTTCTATCCTCTAACCGATCACAATCAGCATGGAAACTTTCCTTTTGGTATTTGAAATCATAAATCACAATATGATGTAAACTCTTTTTTATTCTTCTATGGACTCATATATTTATCAAACAATTAAACATAAGAATATGAAGCTTAAGTAAATGATTTTATAGAAAGCATTGATTCAAGTTGGACTTTTACAAAGGTTGCATACCGATGCCATGGTGAAGCGTCTTTGAGAGAGACCTAAAGTCCTGGATTCGAGTCCCACATGCGATACCGTAGTCGTGCAGTCCCTTACTAGGACGAAACAGCCGTCCGGTGCTTCCAGTTTCTCAATGGTAGTCTAAATTAAATCGGTTTATGATAACAATGACTGAAAGTTTTTTCTTCGCTGATTTCTCCCTGATTTTTATTAATTTATTGACACAATGAATTACAATAATTATCTATAAGTTATCACTAATACTAGTTATCATCTTACCTGAATAAGTAATGATAAATTACCGGTTTTTACTGCTCTTAACAGATCACGTCTTAAAAATCGTTCTGCAATAGGATCACGAGTAGTTGAAATATCATCTGAGAAAGATTTATTATTGTTCGTATTATAATCTAGTGAATTCGATGTTACAATTAAAGAATCCGATGTTGTTTTCGTGATAAAACGTCGATCAACATATTTTGATTTAATAAAATTACGTCTTTGTGTCATTCCATCAGTTGGATCACTAAAAATTTAAAAAAGTAATAAAATTATTCAAATTGAAGATTGATATAACAGATGGTTTGAAATATTTCGCTCTCTCTCCTGAGTATACTACGATATTACGTTAATACGACAATAAGAGTAGTTACGTTATATCAGATCCAGAAGAGAGAACCAGAGTATAAACTAAATAATACAGTGAGACTAAAATATATATACAACCTTTGAGTGGTGTCTTAGGGACCTTGAGAATATCCACCTACCTACTAGGGCTAAATCAGGGTTATAACATAGTGTGAGGAATAAGAAGCTGAAGTTTATTTGATTCCTTTTCTTAATTTGTATTAATGATATTACTAGTGCTTGCCCCGTAATGTATGTCCTATCCACCTACAGTGTCTTTTCTTATTTTCCTGTTGACATGCATGTTGGTTTGTTCTGTCACAGCAGGATGTTGTTGATTGTGTCTGGCCTATAGATCTGGAACATTTTGCGTAGACAATTGTTTATAAACGCGTGCACTCTTTAGATGGTGGTTGTAGTAGTTCTACAAGTTTCAACTCCGTACAGTAGAACTGTCTTGACGTTCATATTGAAGATTCTGAATTTGATATTGGTTGACAGACAGTTGTTTCGAGTCGCTTATATACATCAACTGTCGGAATGGTGTCCTTGCTTTGCGGTGCTTGCATTGACGTCTGCATCAGATCCTCCATGTTCATCGATGATTTTGACCAGTTACGTGAAAGTTTCCACCTGTTCCATAATTTTTCCATGAACTGTGATTTGGTTGGTGTATTCTGTGTTGTATTTAAGGATCTTGGTTTTTCCCCCTGCGTATGTTGAAGCCTACTGATGCAGAAGCTGCTGCTACATTGGTTGTTTTCACACACATTTGTTCGTGTGTAGGGGAGGTCTGGTGGGTTCAGTCTAGTTAGTGTATTCAAGAGTTCATCAAAGTGTCCTGCCCACCTGTTGCGCTGTTCTTGAATTTCAGTGACCTGCTTGCCTTCTTTTTTTGACTGGTCACCCTGTTTTACAATACTTCTTTGCTAGTTTCTTCGTTGTATCATATAACTGTCTCATAATTCCATCTCTAGCAGTTTTTTCCGCTGTCATTGCTAGGTCTTTCACGTACTTTCGCATGTCGGCTCTAATGTGCCTCTTCACTTGCATGTTTGCTTCTGTGTATTCGGTCTATGACTGGGCTTTCTCTACTCTTGTTCAACTGCTGTTAATCGGTGTCTTTTTGTTCTTCATTTCTTAAATCCTGTATGTGGTTTCGATAGAGATGCGTTTTTTATGATGGCGCTTCTTTCATCTCAGCACCTGGCACGTTGAAGTTAGTGCTTCATAACGAAAGTGAATAATCAAAATAGCTTTATCCCTTATTCATTACCTCAAGATCTCGGACTCTATTTACGTATAATATTGATATGCAGTTTTGATTTTCCAACTCTCCTTCCTAGAGGGACTCTTCAAACCCTGGTGGTCGATGCGTGCTAATGAGCTGGAAGCAGCAGCTGCATCTGGTAACTACCGGAAGCTCTTCCAGCTCATCCGAGCCACTGGCAGCAAGAAGTCTGGTGTGAGTGAAACAATCTGCGAGGATGATGGGATGCCAATCACTAACATCCATCGACGTCTTGGACGATGGGCAGAATTTTTCGAAGGGCAGTTCAACTGGCCTGCTGCTCCGGCAACATCGGTCAGACTGTCCTGCCCTCCATGGCCGGTGACGACTGATCCACCAAACGAGGAGGAAGTCCGCAAGGAACTCCAACTCTTGAAGCGTTACAAATCACCTGGCCCAGATGACTTACCTCCGGCTCTTTTTAAAGATGGTGGTGACTTTTTGACTAAGGAATTGACGACGTTGTTTACAAAGGTTTGGGAACTAGAGAGTGTACCAACGTCATGGAATGAGTCGATAGTTGTCCCTATCTTTAAAAAGGGTTCACGTCGTTCCTGTAACAACTATCGGGGGATAAGTCTACTTCCGATTGCGTCCAAGCTATTGGCTTCCGTCATACTTCGTAGGTTGTTCAAAACCCGAGAAAGATTGACTCGCGAGGAGCAGGCTGGGTTTCGTTCTGGTCGAGGATGTATTGATCATATCTTCACCCTCCGCCAAATGTTAGAACACCGCCATACTTATCAAAGGCCAACAATCGTAGTGTTTCTTGACATCAGGGCTGCCTTCGATTCGTTGGACAGGACTGTTCTCTGGGATTGTCTATTGAAGAAGGGTGTGCCTGAGAAGTTTATTAACATCCTAAAAGCCCTATATAAAAACACCTCAGGCAGAGTGAGGGCATACAACCACCTCTCTCCATTGTTCCATTCGAGCAGTGGGGTTAGGCAGGGTTGCCCAATCTCACCATTCCTCTTCAACTTTGCCATCGATGACATTCTGGAAACAGCTCTGATGAATGTAAGTAATGGTGGTGTGGATCTGTTGCCTGGAGAAAGACTTCTCGACCTTGAGTATGCGGACGATATTGTCTTACTGTGCGATAATGCCCAAGGCATGCAATCCGCACTTAATCAGTTGGCAATCAGTGTCCGTAGGTATGGTATGTGCTTTGCACCTTCGAAGTGCAAAGTACTTCTACAAGACTGGCAGGATTCCAATCCTGTACTCACCCTGGATGGTGAGCAGATAGACGTAGTCGAGAAGTTCGTGTATCTGGGTAGCTGCATAAGTGCTGGTGGGGGTGTGAGTGATGAGATCAATGCACGTATAGTGAAAGCCAGAGCGGCTTATGCCAATCTGGGCCACCTTTGGCGCCTTCGTGATGTTAGTCTGGCTGTAAAAGGTCGGATCTACAACGCGTCGGTGAGAGCAGTTTTGCTCTATGCTTGTGAAACCTGGCCTCTCCGAGTTGAGGACGTTAGACGACTCTCTGTGTTCGATCATCGCTGTCTCCGAAGGATTGCTGACATTCAGTGGCAACACCATGTCAGTAATGCAGAGGTTCGGCATCGTGTGTTCGGGCACAGAGATGATAATTCAATTGGTGTCACCATCTTGAAACACCGACTTCGGTGGCTTGGACATGTTCTCCGAATGTCGTCCCAGAGAATTCCACGTCGTGCATTATTTGCCGACTCTGGGACTGGTTGGAAGAAGCGGAGAGGTGGTCAGTGCATGACATGGTGTCGTGGCATGAAAGAAAGCTGCAAAGGACTGGCTTGTGTTGGTCCTTCACGACTCCCTGGTTGGGGTCTGAGAGATGGTGCTACACAGTGGCTAGAGACGTTATCAGATATGGCTCAGAATAGAAGCCAGTGGCGATCCTGCTGTAACCTTCTTTTACTTTCTTCATAAAAAGTGGTTGTGTCTCCCTTACCTGAAAGATTTCTTCCGATTGTACCTTTGCGTTCCCTGATTACTAGCACATTACCTTACACCAATCTCTTCGTTATTGTTCTCTCTTTTTTTGTTGCGCTCCTTAGCTTTTTTTTTCTTTGTATTCCTCTCGAATTTTCATTGTTTTGTGTGGCGCATATATATTGGCGCTCTCTTGTACCAATATTCATGTGTCCAAATAAATAAATAATAAATAAATAAACCCATCAACCAGATCTAAGTGATGGAATTTCATTTCTCGTCCATTTAGTTTTATAAGCAACAACCGACAGTGCATGAATGCAGGAAGTAGGACTTCAACGACAGGGACATAAAAGCACATAACCGCATAAGAGCGTTTTTACAGGTAGAGTTTACTGTCCTATCCAGGGATTCAGTTACAATAAATAATACGAAAATTATTTTATCTTCTCCTATTTGTCTTTCATTTAAAAGATTTTATGGACAGAGCCAAAAGAATGAAAACTAATAAATTTATTTTCATAGAAGAAATAATACAGGTATGCTTAAGTATATAACAAAACATTCATATTTCAAATTCTACTTACTTAACAGAATCTAAAGCGTTCGGTTTACTTTCTGCAGGCAAACTAGACTCATATACACTATTAAACAGTTGATTCCCGATGAATCGAGGTAACTGAAATAATCGGGAGAAAAAAAGAGGCAACATCCGAAACAATTAAGATTACAATTATGAACTAATGTTAGTAGAATCTTAGACTGGATTGGAATTCAGGACGCGCGTTTCGTCCCATTTGAGACTCGCCAGCTGGATGTGTCTGCATCTCCGAGTCGATGTTCACTCTGGTATTCAAACCCAGTACCGTTCACTTCAAACGCCATTGCGTTATCCACTTAGCTACTGAGTCCTGATAACCATCTGCTTGTGCAATGGAGTGGAGTTTTAAATTCACTTGATGTTGTCTACTTGTATCTTCCCACTGTTATTTAGGTCCCAAATAACAATCAAGTGGCCATCAGGACTCAGTAGCTTAGTGGATAACGCGATGGCGTTTGAAGTGAACGGTACTGGGTTTGAATACCAGAGTGAACCTCAACTCCGAGATGCAGACACATCCAGCTGACGAATCCCAAATAGGACGAATCACGCGTCAAACTGTATTCCACTACTAGCCACTATTCAACTTTGCTTATGAAGCTTGTGAACTAAGGCAATATTGAGGCAGACCGCACACGTTGCACATAACCCAATAAGAGACTGGTTAACTGCAGTCCTAAATAACAATGGGAAAATATAAGTAAACAAAATCAAGCGAATTTCAAAAATTAGGCGGATTTTTAAAGGATATTTAATAATTGCAAAAGAGTTTTGGTACGGACAGTACAACTGTGGGTATTATTGAATTGAATCGTACTTTGGACAAAAATTAATCTGGACCAACTACCTATAATCTAACTGTGCAAATATTACAGAAAACCTTCCCAATTGAAACTTATTAGATTCAAAGAAATAAAAATGAATGCTAACTGTGTCAGTAATCATGAGATACGTTTTTTTTCTCTAAACAATAAAATTCTAGCAAAGTACGACAATGGTAGGTACCAGAAAGTTCTTAATGGCAACACTATGATTGTAAACATCTTTTCCTTCATTTCTATCTCCTTTGAAGTAAAGAAGGTTGGAATACATTGGAATGTGTGAATCAATACTGTCCCTAAATCCTAAACCTAAACCGTTAATCCAAAAACAATACAATCCAGTAATCTTATATTTTATGAACGAAATAATTACACAGTGATTCTTGATTAATTACGCAGAATTTATCAATTCATACGGCTATAAAGCATTTTGGCATGTTGGTTGAGGCAAAATCCTGATGAAAACTGTTACCCGAAATCCCTAACCCTTACTAAAAACAATTCAAGAACTCTTAAAAATTTATTTAGGTCCTTTTAATGGTTTGAGGAGATGAAGATCTATACCCATGTGAATAGATTTATAATTATTTGTTGTTGTTTTAATTACAGATCGAGGAACCTGTAGAAGAATTTAATAGGTTCATTAATTATGTGAAATCTTTTTACGCTCTGCAATATCATTGATTTTTTTCTAGAAACTATGGATCTACAAAAACTGCTTTCTGGTTGGCTAAAAACTGGTCGAAAATTTATTGCTCACTCTTAAGCGACTCACTTACTGGTAAACTTTTATGGGTACTCAAACGGCTAACGCTCCATCGTTATCTATAGTCATGTACTGTAATCACAACAAAATTCATTATCTCCACTAATGACCTTATACAAATTAATTCCTCTACTTGATCAAAAAGTACTCGATCGAAATCAGTGCACTGATTAAATGCAGGTTTGTAAATGTGCACTACCGCTGAGAAGTCCAATGCTAGAACGAAACGGCTGTCTAGTTCTTCTAGGTTCCTAACGATGGTCTAATTTAGAACGGTTCAGGATTTCAGTGTCTATACGGTTTAACCGTATAGTTATTTTATGACATCTATAAGCACATATCTTTAAAACGCCATATTTATTTTACGAAACCAGTATACAATATGAAGTCAACGTATGAACTAGAACAGAATTTAATTAGGATTAACCAGGATTCATTCAGTACACCAGTTTTTTCACTAACAGGGTGATTTGTTTCCCCTCGATATGGGATATGATCAATGAAAGCTTTCAAATAAATATTGTAAGTAGACGCATTGATGTATAGAGAATAAATAATTACATAGATCAAAACTACCAGTAGACTGGTAGACCAGAAATCTATTACGAGATAGAGAATAAAGTGATAACATACCAGTATATTCTAATTAGTTTTTGGGAGAAAATTTTTAATTAAACTGTAGAAAAGAATTGAAACAATAACAGGAGGGCCTGTCATGGTGCAAAAAGTGAGTACAACGTTGAAACTAACTGACAGTTACGTACTGCTACTATTAGCTAGAAATTCACTGATTTAAATATGTAAATTCAAAAAAAAAAAACACCATGCAACAATTTGTTGTGAGAGTACACCTAGAGTTTTTTCTTATCTAGATTAGAGCCGGTTATTAATTCAACACATTTACATTTAATAATAGGGTGAGTTCGCTCTCCCTCACGAAATTCTCCTATACACAGCCATGTATTTATAGTCTTGCTTAATGCCTCCATGCAGTGGGAGTGTTATTTACGAAATTAAGGGAGGATAAATTGAACATTAGGCGTTTACATTGGGGTGATGGATATAGCTGGTCCACATCTAGAGAGGGAAATTAGAAAACCAATAGTGTACATTGTATCCAAGATCTTGAGAGAACAAATAGAGTATGGAGTAATTTCAGGTCATCGGTTACAATGGGAAGGTATCTCGTGACATTACTTTACTACCTTTTTGATTAGACCTGTCTGAGTGAAAGGTATGGAGAGTGGTCTCTTGGGAAAACGTCAATTACTTTGGTTTGGTTACTCAAACAGTAACCCAGTTTGTACACACAAAATAATTCTACGTGCGCATACTATATTTAGAGCCAGATTGTTCTACATTTTATGTGAATTACATAACTAATAGTTCTTATTATGATTTTATTGTTGTCAATTAGTTGAAATATTCTTTTTTTTTAAAACGACCTAACAGAATAGGTAAGAAGTTAAGGAACATTGCCCCCCTGGTACGGCCCAAGGTGAGGACATTCCGCTCTCTCTCTCTCTCTCTCGAAGTGCCTTCACATGGCCACGCGTATACAGCTACTGTCATGGAAGTCCTACACACTGCCTTCTGGCGGCGGGGTATTGTTCACGAAGTTGAGAGCACGAAAAGCGAATGTAAAGCGCTTTACACGGGTTAGTGGAAATGGAGAATTCAACTAGGGGAGTTTGAAAACCCTGATTTCAAACCAATGGAGCCCATAGACTCCAGAATCCTGGGACCACAAATGGCGTATGAACCTATTGTTGGTCACTGGCTACCATGAAATAACATCTAACGTTGCTCCATTGCCTTTTGGATTGGACTTCTAGGTCAAAGGTTCGGGGTGTAGCACCTTGAGAAAACCACCTACTTCGATTTGGGCAAACGGGCAGTATCACTGCCCTCAAACAAATAGAATTATGAAGTGTGACACGTATCTATTTGGTGCCTCCTTGTACAAATACTTGTGTTTAAATGAAAAATAAATAAAAAACATTTAAATAAATTAAACAAAAACGATTGTGATATAACTTACCAATAGTTGATTAGTCGATAATTCATCCATCAATAATGATTGAGTACGTGAATGGTGTACGCCTAATTCTCGATGTGCACCACAACATTCCAAACAAATTAATATACCCAGATTTACACTAACCCATTCGGGATCTTGTAAATCAACAAAAAGGATGGGAAAGGTGAAAACGATAGAAGAATACAATTGACCACGGTTTTTAAAATAATTTTAAAAAGTGTATAGGACTGAAATAATGAAATAAGTTGATCAAATTTCGAAAACTTCATCAGGAAATTCTACACATGAAGTATAAATCAGATGAATTTTGCAGTTTCTAAGACGATTTCGACGGACTAATCCAATTCACTTGATATTGTTTTTCTTGAATCTTCCCATTGATGTTTTTAGGACTGAAATTGATCAGTCCTGGATTCCACTGCTAGCTACTATCCATCTTTGCTTATAATGCTTGTAAATTAAGGCAATATCGAGGCATACGCACAGTATGCACATATGCCAATAAGAGACTGATCAATTTCAGTCCTAAAAACATCAATGGGAAGATTCAAGAAAAACAATATCAAGTGAATTAAACTTTAACCCATTGCACAAACAAGTGACTATCAGGACTCAGTAGCTAAGTGGGTAACGCGATGGCGTTTGAAGCGAACGGGACTGAGTTCGAGTCCCAGAGTGAACATCAACTCTGAGATGCAGGTACCTCCAGCTGACGAGTCCCAAACAGGACGAAACGCGTGTCCTGGATTCCACTGCTAGCCACTATCCATCTTTGCTTATAAGGACTTATTCAATGTTTTAGAGCCGAAAAATTGCACGAACTGAATAATCAGAAAATAGGGATGCATTGATTCAAGTAAATACAACTGTATCCCTATACTCTTAAGACTTTCAATTACTGATTAACGACATAGGAGGAGGAATGATTTTGTCATGATCCTCTTCGTTTGTGTAAAAGGATTTGCAGTATCACCTAGAATTCCGGAATAAATGTTTGTCTTATAATAAAACGAAACAAAAAAGTAAGTTTAATCTATTAACTAATTACTAATTGATGTTTGCACCGAGCCTCGAACTCAGTACCTTTTACTATAAAGGTCAATTGTGCGATTGAGTCCAGGTAGTACTCTAACTTGACCAATGAGTCCAACTGCTAGCTACAATCTATCTATACTAAATGATTTTTGCTGAAAATGACAATATGGAAGAAATCTACACGGGATACATACAAATCAACAACGATTGATAGAAATTCAGTCTTCAATGTCAATAACGAGATAATTCAAACCTTTATTGGTAACGATTTAAACACAATATTATTTAAACAAACCGATGTTTTCTGCACTAAATAGCTCAGTGGATAAAAACGTTAGTATGTGAAGCATATGCTAATTATTCTGAAGTCAATGCATGCAAATGAAGATCATCATAAATTTTAATTACTTACATCGAATAACTTAATCAGTCATTTATACACATAGTAGAACCTCACACAAATATACAATACCACATAATACACCGAAGACAAGCCCCAGAGTATAGGAAGTAGTAACATTAATGGAAATAAAAATAGCGGCAATAGAAATGATTGCGTATAGAGGAAAAAAACTACGACGAGATTTTGGGACTCCGGTTCGGAAGGAATGAGTGAGCCTGAAATATTGTGAAGGATTCCGAGTCATGTCATCTGAAGTTTCTAGTTGTTGATTACGATATTCACGCGGACCCTCACTATGTAGTCTGAAACAACTTACACAACTCACTCCAAATGCTCATGACTTCATGTACTGCTAATACAAACTGATCTAACCACACCAAGCTTGCTTCCAAGCAGGACAAATTGCTCGTCGACGAAAATAGTGGGTAACAAATGCCTTAACCATTTCAGCTGATGAAGATTTACTACCTCATCAATCATTTTGGCATATTTACATACAATTCCGTGTCTAACCTCAGCATTGCTAACTTCCTGAAACTAAAATATACAAGTAATGCTTCAAAGATATCTATGATTTAATTTTAGTAACTTACGAATACCCTATACTCTTGAACGAGGTGGACTAATCAGCAGCAAACTCGTTCTCAGTTACCAAACGGATATCTCGCCAACTCTACAAGAGACCCAAATCAACAAACGTCATTCAAGCTCTCTGATTTCATGTCGAGATTTCCTCAAACATCAACCCACAAGGGCTGGTGAGACTTCCAATAAAAATGAAGCTATCAATGAACTCAACTGCTTCACAAGCAATCACTAGTTTCGGCATTGATACAGACTGACTCTGAGGCAACACTTCACATTTAGAGTGAGAGGAAAAAACACATCCTATCAAGTAATAAACAAACTATTTACGAAGATATTTAAGAAAACATGAATAATGTAGCGAATAAATTATCAACTTAACAAAATTTACAACTAACCAGGTCGACCACAATCAGCGCATACTTCATTACCAGGTGCACAGAATCGTAAAGAAGATTGAATTAATGATTTTGATGGACGTCCTTTAGATTCAGTCGCATTAATGCCATCTGTTGAAAAAGCATCTGCACTATCTAAGTGACTTTCACGTGAACGACTAATTTGTGAACCGCTAGTGGAAAAAAAGAAAACAATGACAAATCAAGTAATTAATACATATATACGATTTATGATTGTTACAAATCAGATGTTTTAAGGTAGCTTTGGCTAATATTCTGATAAAGGTGTCGTATTTTGATATATGAAAACTGTATCTCAAAAGACAAAGTCAGTGGATTTTTTCTCGAAATACTAAGAACTTGGAACACAAAGAAGTTGTACTCATTTAGTTGACAAACTTGAGTAGAATGATAACTTACAGTAAACTGTTTTTTTCTTACCAGAAATAGGGGTTATTGAAATTACCGAATTTGATTCTGATCACAAACTAATTTAAGTTTAACAACCATCGAAAACCTAAAAGTAATGGAAGTCCATTTCATCCTATCATAGGACTCCTCAATGGCAATGTTCGTCCATGACCCTGTAACTGGGGACCGAACTCAGGACCTACGGTGGACAACTGTATCACATACGACACAGTCAAAATCCAATGGTCATGGCATTACACATTAATTATCAGTACAGGGGTTTGTAGAGATTGTTGAAGGTTACTGAGATCACAAACTGACCTAAGTTAAAAAACGAACCAATGAATTTTCTAGAATCTACGTAATTATTTTTCACATTACTTTAAAAGCAGGCTATTGCGTTTATTTACACCTGTAGACTCTCGTGGAGGCATAAGCCGCCGAACAGGATTCGCAAAACAACTCTGTCTTGGAAAATCCTTTCCGAATGCCATTTATTCTTCTGATGTTTACCTCCGATTCTCGACTCAATGTGTTCCTTAGTCTTCCTCTTTGCCTTTCGCCTTCAGGATTCCGAGTTAGCACTTACCTCGTGATTCAGTTTGATGATTTCCGTAATGTATGTTCTATCCACCTCTAACGTATTTTCTTACTTTCCTGTTGACATGGAAGTTGGTTTGTTCTCCGCCACAGTAGTTTGTTGTCGATGGTGTCTGACCTATGGATCTGGAATATTTTGCGTAGACAATTGTTTATAAATGCGTGCACTCTTCAGATGGTGGTTGTAGTAGTTCCCCAAGTTTCAACTCTGTACAGTAGAACTGTCTTGGCGTTCGTATTGAAGATTCTGACTTTGATTTTGGTTGGAATAGAAGAGTTCGATTGCGAAACGTTCTTAGAAGTATGAGTTCAGGCATCGCGATAAGAAAGTCGGGTCAACTCATTTGCCAGATACGGATTTATGAACTTGACTTCAAGTCAAACTCTAGGTACATTTGATCAAACCAAAGCAGAGTGGGTTTTGAACACGTGACTTAGTGGCTGAAAGTCAGACACCTTAATCAATGAACCACCGCTCGGTACATAATACTTCACAAAAAGAGTGGTCTGTTGATTGGATCAGTTCAGTTCTAACCGTTATAACACTGATTCGATTTACGCCAAAAAAATTCAGTTTCAATATTCTGAAAGTATTACTAGTTTACATGCAAAGTCGAGTGAACATTAAATGAGTAACATCAAATATGAAGATTACTAGATCCCATAGAGAAGTAAATCGGTTTGAATCATATTTAGAAAAACATTCACAAGATCAGTCAACCAATTAAAGTACAAATCATACTTCTATTTCATACACAGAATTTGGTAAATTTGGGCACCATGACTAGTATGCACCGCACAATTCAGTGGAACAATGTAAGAAGATGCCGTTTTATGGTAGCCGTGGTAACTGTGAACTGGTTTACATATTATTTCTTCCCTCACGATCTCGGACTCTTTTTATGTACGTTGGTATGTTTGGAGTCAGGGTTTTTTAACTTCCCTCTCTGGGTGAACCAGTTTAGGTGTTGAACATTCGCTTTTTGTCATCTAAATTCCCTGAGCAACACTATCGTCACGTGAACATAGTGATCTAAAACTACCTGGTAGAGGCTATAAACCCATGATACGCAAGTAATTGAGACAAAACAAGATTAATTTACATACTAACAAAATTGAAAAATATGACAAGATGATAAAAACAAGTTTTATTACTATTACCTAGAATCTAATAAATCATTTTCACTTCCTGGTAGACTATCCCCAAAACTATCAGATTTCATATGTTTCGAGGGATTATTATTCATAGGACTATTACTTTGACCAGTTAAAGTTGAATAGACTAAATCCATATCGGCAGCCAAACTATCACCATTAGTAATATTACATTTATTAGTGCTCATCAAACGATTCGATGATAAATTCAGTGTTGTTTCAGACAGATCGCATTGTGAATTTGTATAGTTTTCACCATTCATTGCTTTGTTAAATTCTTCTTGCATTGCATTATTTAAAATACTTATCCATCTATAATTAGAAAAGGAAATATTCAACAATAGTTAATCAACACCGTTTATTCATTTGTAAAGACTTGTATTTCCACCCCAGTTATTGATGTTAAGAAATGAAATTAAACAAAGCTTTATTAAGACAATTCATATTGGTTACTACGTAGGGACTAGTGGCTCAGTAGATAACATATTGAGTATTTGAATCGAAAGAGATTAAGTCTCAGGTTTTGATATGAACAACAGTACTAGGATATGACAGGTGAATCATCCAGCTAAAGAGTTCTTAGTGAAACAAAACGCAAGTCGTGGACTTCACACTGCTAGATATTATCCAGTTTTATGGAAGATTTGTGTTTGGCGAGTTATTGAATGAAATGGATGGATTACATGCTTATTTGTTCAAAGACTGAGAGGATGAAAATTGAACTATAAGTTTTCTTTTTTTACTGATACCTGTTTGTTTAACTGTAAAGTAAGTAATGAAAACAAATATACACACAACAGAGATATTACTACTGCATGATATATTTAATGATTATATTATTAAGCGGTAACAATAGAATCGATAATCTAATGCATTAGAGGATATTATTATTCACAGTGACAGAAATCAATCTAACTCTGTTACGTAAAACACAGATTAAGAAGCGTATATTTTCATTAAAATCATGAACCGACTAGTGATAGATCACCACTGAAAGCCTGAGAAACAACGGACGTGCGTTTCGTTTTAGGATGAGACTCCTCGGTGGCAGTGCGTATTCACGGTTCCGCGCGCGGGAATCGAACTCATGACCTTCGGTTTCACATGAGAACGCCTGTGTCCAGTGGATTCAGGTTTGCAATGGTGGTCTAACATTGATAGGTTGGTCAATTCAATGAAACTTAAAAATCCCCACAACACTATACTGATAAAAAATTTTTGTCAATACTCACTCTTCGTATTCTTGTTCATCCTCTGCTTGGAAGTTATATGTTCGACTATCTATGAAAGTTATGGGAGGAAGAAAAAATGGTATTGCAATGATTTTCACAAATTTAAACTTCTGAACAAACCACTTAATTACCTGGGAAGCAATTCATACATTTCATGATAAGTTGTGAAGTGATTTATATCGAGATAAGAGCTGTTTGGAGTTATAATAGAATGTCATGATAACTTATGTAGTCAGTGGAAATGTACAAAATGAAAGGATCTTCCACAAACTATACTGACATTTGGGTTAGTTAGTAAGAACATTGACTAAAGTCGGGAAGGGTGAAAAATTGAATTGTCACTCGGTTTGTTTAGATAGCTAGCGAATATCCAGCGCTTTAACCAGGTTGGTGTATATGGAGGATTCACCTAGGGCAGTTGGGAAACGCTGACTCCAAACTAATGGTGCACATGATCTCCAGGATCTTGAGACAACAAATGGCGTGTGAACTTATTGTTGGTCACTGGCTACCATGAGACTGTATCTCCTGACGTTGCTCCACTGCCCTGTGAATCGGACCTCTAGGTCAGAGGTTAGGGGAGTGGTTTCCTGAGAAAACCACTTGCTTCAGTTTGGGCACCCGGGGGTATCCCGGCACTCACACAAATCAAGTGGTGAAGTGTGGTGCATATGTATTTGGTGCCAATATTTATGCGTTTAAATAACATTAATAATATTGTCTTAATAGTAGTGTACTGATCTAAAAACTTCTTGAGGCTTAATGTTACATGACATGGATTTTTTAAATCCAAATCGTATATGACTATTGAATTTATATGAGAACTACATACAACATGTCATAATCTGAGCATATTTCAGTCAGTCATAATCAATACAAAAACTGGCACATATATGAAACGACTCACATTCCCACACCATACATCAGCAAAGAGAGATGAAAGTCAAAGTAATAACCGTAGTAGTAATAGTACTATCGGTGATAGCGAAAAACGATTAGGCACACAACACGAATAGAGAAAAATGAATAAATTCGTGGAGTAAAAGGCATATGATAATTTTAAAAGTGAATAGATTTGTTCCGTTGTGAACGATGCTGAATCATGTCAGGTAGTCTGTGATATGTCTGTTACTCAGACGTTTACTATTGACTTTCTAAGCGCTTTCTATATCCCTAGACTACTCCTACACTTGGAAGCAAACAGTAATGAAAAAGCGTAAAGTAAGGATGGAAACTTAACTTGAAGGTCAATCTGTGTAGAGAAAACAAGCTGATTTATTGATTTATAAATGACCTTTAACTCCGAGAAGCTTATAGAAATACACCGAATTTAGTGTCAAAAAAACAGTTGTTCAATTAAAATGTTTCTGATATGTTTCTACTTGATGTTGATTGAACCAAACATTTTTATCCTTCTCTAAACACTTTCGGACCTAATCGAGGAAGTATTGGGGGTTTCCCACAATCTGCACCTGTGAAGATGACTTAGACCAAGAATCAATGAGTATATTTCACTCCTATTCAACATGTGAACAAGTTTTGACGGTGCTTTTTCGGCACAGACTTGTTTGTGTGACCTGTATCTTCAATAATTTTGATTATCCATGTGAATAAACAATTACAAGATAGATGGGAATATTGGAAATAATTAATTACAACCTCTGAGACTTTAACAAATATAATTTCATATTTATTGCTTTAATATATCACTTTTTGAATGTTTCACTTTGTTTTAAATTTGTTTAATTTCCGCCGTTTTCAGTTACATCTTTAATAATGATGCCAGTTAATACTACTGTTTTCGATCAACTTTTTTTGTATGCTAAACTGCATCACAACATGCTTTTGCCAAGTATACTACGTTTTTATTCTGTTTGCCCCTAGAATTCTATTGGCTGACAGCCCTTTTGTAATCATATCGATAAGATGTCACTCACCTAACGAGTAAAGGTTTACGCACTATTAATCTTTGAGTCACAATATTCATATGAGAACTTAATGGTATTACCCGGCTGCTGAAACCAAACTAGGAGTAAGTTTTCAAACATGTAACCAATTACTAGTTGAGATTCAATAGTTTTAACCACTACGCCACTGAATTCAGTCAGTCAAGAGCTACGTTAGATTTGACGCATGTATACATCGCCTCAAGTTCCTATATCCTATTGGCACAGTGTAATGAAATTTTCAGGGAAAATCCCACAGTACTAGAGGCAGTAATAGCATTAGCGATAATAGGAAAGAATATGCATAGAATATACGATTGGAGAACCTACTCCTACACCAGCTATCATCGCGAATCGAAGTAAATGATATATGGGTACACGTAATACATGTCCTAACTATCTAATTCGATAAAGATTCACCACCTCGTCGGTCAATGTGGCATATTTACATACACTCCCGTGTCTAACCTCAGTATTGCTAACTTCCTGAAACTAAAATACACAACTAATGCTTCAAAGACATCTATGATTTAATTTTAGTAACCTACGAATATCCTATACTCTTGATGTTCAAGTCTAACACAAATAACGTAGAACGAGGTGGACTAATCAGCAGCAAACTCGTCTCTCAGTTACCAAATGGATATCTCGCTAACTCCACAAGAGACCAAATCAACAAACGTCATTCAAACTTTCTGATTTTATGTCGAGATTTCCTCAAACATCAACCCACAAGGGCTGGTGAGACTTCCAATAAAAATGAAGTTATCAATGAACTCAACCGCTTCACATGCAATAACTAGTTTCGGCGTTGTTGCAGACTAGTTCTGAAGTAACATTTTGCATTTAGGTGGAGATAAATGCTACTGTTCCAGTAATTATATCAATAATGAAAACCATAACTATAGTTGAATATGGATTATGGAATAAGACTAGAATAATGTTATATTTACTTGAGACAAGATCAAAGTAAAGTTTTCCTTCTGAAGTTGTCGAGTGTTGATTACCACCACCACCACCACCACCCCCAGTACTATGATTTAATATTGAATCATTATCCATAGATTCCGTAGGTAATTTAACTTGACAAGTGAGTAAAGTTAGGCGTACAGGTGGTTTACTTTCATCTGCATGATACAAACATAATTCCCCATCAGCAATGTGTACACGACGACGTTGCCAGACACGTTTAACCTGGAAGAAAAAGACAGAACAACAGTGATTTCATACAAAATAATAATGTGTGTATATACGTTTGTAGTTCAGTTAGTAGTTTATACATTTAGTAAAATAAAAGACAATTAGAATTGAATTAATTCACTCACCAAGTACTTGGATATGAAGCACACACTTTAACTGTGGATGGTTGATTTATGATACTTACTATCTCAATTGGTTAAACCGTAGTGGGATTTGAAAGCTGAGAACTAACCACTAGGTTACTACTTCACACTATAATAGAGTGAACTTTATATTCAATTAGACAGAATTATCTATGGGACATTTCAACTAGACTTCAAGAGAACGCAGGATTCATTAATCATATCATTAGTAGTTTTAAATACAATTAATGAAGAACAAAATAGTTGAATAATGAAAAGTCGAACAAATCCGTACTAAACAGAAAAAAAACTTGGTTTTCAAAGATACATTATTTTAACAGCTGAATTCATGACTTGATCTCAGCTAGACCACCAATGAAAAGCTGAAAGTAATGGACGGCCGTTTCGTCCTAGTATGGGACTCCTCAGCAGTGCGCATCCACGATCACGCACGCGAAATTCGAACCCAGGACTTTCGGTCTCGTGCGCGAACACTTAACCCCTAGACCGCTTCAATCGATCCATGATTTTGCGCAACTCTTCATTCATTGTCTGGGTTGGATAACTATTTCACACCCGACACGAATTGGACTACACTGGTCACGAATACCAGAATTCCCACGACTCCCCATTCTGATAAATTTTTCTAGCATTGTTTTCTTTTTAAAAAGATATTATGGTCATAAGCAATATAGAACCTGGAATAAATGTGGATCAATTTAAGCTGCCATATGATACATCAACATTGAGAAATGTCAGAGTAATATGACAAGTAACAGTATTAGTGGTAATAGACAAGTTAAGCATAAATCATATATGATTCAAGGGGAGAAAATATGGAAGATATCATGCAAAACAATCCTAAATAAAACATACAGATAATTTGTTTATGATTCTACAATAATTAAAAACAAGGCGAAGCAAAGAAAAATTGTTTTAATGTTGTAAAGTAATGAATGATTCGATTACTAAATAATTAGACTGAACACTTGACTCTGCATTTGATCCATATCCTATGTATAGATCACGATACTAGATCACATGGGACTCAGATAATTAAAGTCTAATTAACAAGAAAGAACCAGATACGGATTAGAATGATAGTTTATTGTGACAAAAAATAACAATCAATCAGTATAGGCTTGTGGAGATTGTTAAATTTGAATTGATATCATGAATGGATGAATGCTAAACCACCATTAGAAACCTGGAAGCACAGTATGGAGACGAACAACTCAGAATAGAGGAAACGATTAACAGACTTATGCGTTAGATTGCGAAAATGAATGGTCACTAAAGTAGCAACTATAATTGGTCGGGAGAGATAGCCATTTTTTAGCAACCAATGTCTTCCAAGGACACCGACGACCAATCTGGATGCTGATTGCTCGAAATAATTAGACTGAATTTCGTCCAATTACAGGCTGACCTTGGATTGTATTCTTTTTACCCGTCGCCAATTGTTGCGACTTGAGCGACAACAGCAGCATTTCAAAAATAGCCAGTTGAATATTTTGGACAACTTACGCACACGGCTGCTAAACCATCTATGCTTTGGAGATGCGACAGAAGTTGATAAGTTAATTTCTCATCTGCATACCGAGCTGGAAAATAACTGAAGAACATATGGTGTCTATAAAAGCCTCTATGAGTACTTTACGAGCAGTAATGTAAGCGAAGCAGTGATTCAAGATCCGCCCGGTGGTCCAGTACTCTCCATTCCAGAAACATGCCCTGTCATGGATTCAAACTCCATTATCCCCGAAACGGCATGTACAGACTGACGTATCCAGCCGACAAGAAGATCCCCTCGCTCTGCCAGAAAATATGTCACATGCATCAAATAATAATCAAGAAGCTGGTGCAGTTTTGTTGAACGCTGATTATCATAGTGATCCACTATCTACTAGTGAGGTTTGGCCACAATATTTCAGAAGAATCAAACTTCGATTACTTCATATCAAGTGTCGTTCAGCCTCACCACTCAGTCACTTTCAGTCGGTCCTCTGTTCAGTGAGACAAATATGTCTTAAATAAATTCTAATTAATTGTGACTTTGGCATATGAGGATCCAACACTGTTTCGCGGGGGAGGATGACTCAAAAATTTAAAATCCGGATATCAACTCCGGATCTTCAAAAAAGGGGAGTTGTTGTATGTCGATAGGAATAATGAATGGTAAATCGTATAATAATAGTTCATAGGTCCAAATAAAGCTCATAATAAGAGGGGCATGAATATGAACAGTTTAGTTATATAACAATTATACGATAAAAATATACTCATAATATTGGTCCATAAATGGATCTCAAAAAATACCATTCAATATTCTTATCGGGATACAACAAATTTGTATAATGATGAGGAAATATCACTTTTTAATATCACGGAGTAGAAATGATAGTGTAGAGCAAATAAAATCCTTAATGCTTTGTAGATCGCATGTAACAGGTAAGTAGACACAATCCCTAAATCCTGACCGTAAACCTTGAATGCTGGAGTAAACTTTAGCCTGGTGGTATAATAATTAATGGAAAAAATAGTCAGAGTTAAGATAGTCTTTTGGACTTAAAACCGGCGAACGGAAGGAAGTTGGTAATACAACAACAGAATAAGCTAAACTATTCCATTGCACCCGATCGAAGCTGCTACCTTGACGCGGTGGTCGGGCTTGCCTATCGTGATGACCCAACCGAGCTATATTGGCTGGAACATATGTTCCTGTAGGTTCTACCATGCCAGGCAGGTCGATTGAAGAGCGGTAAGACTAAAAGCAGCAACTCAAGGTCTGAGGGCGAAGTCGTACTGCTGACTGTAGAGGGGTGTGACAGCAGTAAGGTGTTTCCTTCGGACAACCAGCATGACAGCAATGCTGCCTTCCCACAAGGAGGGGTGGGGTTAGAAAAGGTCGACCCTAAAAATGTCACACCTCACCTTATCTCACGGATTTCCGTCTCCGGCGGTAAGGCCCTTTGAAGAACGGAGCTAACAGGTCAAAAACCGCCCACAAAAAGGCCGTGCGCGACCGGCCACAAGCAGTTGTCCCTTGGGCTCTGCGGTCACGCTCCCAGGTCGTCAAGACCAACACTAATCCAATTTCCTTTTCAGGTTCCTCAAGAAATACCCTTCCACGGTGTGGGCAGCCGGGAAGTGACACCAGCCCTCATACCCGTAACAGCACAAGAGACCAAGGTGGTCACATTCAAATCCTTCCTGACTGATTCCATTGCACCCCAGCCCTGCTAACAAGAGGGAATGAAATTATAAAATAAGATGTTTACCAAGTGATTTCTGGGGATCTAGCATCCCCTACAAAATCATGAACCTAACACCAAGAACAATGTAGGGACTTTCAGAGGTTTATTTGGGTCCTTTACAGAGTTCGGCCAGATGGATAATCTATATCCGTGTGGACAAATTTAGATGTTATTTTTCTTTCAATTTACAAGTAAAGTAACCAGAATAAGAATTTCGTTGATTCATTAATTATGTCTAAAGCTACTTACACTGTAATATTACCGTTTTCTTTCAGTAAACTATCTACTTGCAAAATAATGTTTTCTGATTGGCTAAAAACAGGTTGGAAATTTATCGCAATCCTTTTAAGTTCATTTCCCCCTTCTACTACACCATAATGTACTTCCACTTTATGTAGATGTACACATCTATTTAAGAAAAAAACACAGTGCAACAAACCTTTCCATCTGATTTTTTCAGTAGAAATCCACTTTTTTTTAGTTCCAAATGCTTTATTCAATGGAGTTGGTTGTGCTGCATACGTGACACCAGTTTGTACTGACTAAAAATACAAAAAAATGAATGAAAAGCAAGAAAAAAATCACAAAGTGAACAATAAAGCTCTCTGTAAAAACTACGACAAACCGAGAGCAATACACCGTACTACAACGAAATTGCAAATAAATTATCAAGATACAAATGAGTCACACATTTCACGACAAAATAAAAACATACTTTATACGAGAGAAAAATCATTTGCTGCTAAATGAATACATCATTGCACCGAAAATAAAACGATATGATTTTCATTAATTACGAAGGGAATCAAGATAACATATATAATCATGAAAAAGCTTCAATTATGACTTCTATTCGTTTATTTCTTTAAAAAAAAACACATTAACACCGGTACAAAGGATCACCACCACACCACACAAAGTAGTTATCATTAGATTTGTATCTGGATTGGGATACTGTCCCAGTGGCTAAACCAGGGCAGGTAGTTTTTTAGGAGGCCTATAACCGAGCCGTTGACCTAGATGTTTAATCTACGAGGCAGTGGAGTGATGTTACGAGATGCAGTGCCATAGTAGTCGATGACCAATAATAGGTTCATATGCCATTTGTTGTCTCAGGAACTTGAAGACCATTTTCACCATTGGTTTAAAATCAAGGTTTCTCGAATTTTTTTAGGTGGATGCTCCATAATCACCAACCTGGTTTAAGACCCAGCCGGACATTCGCTTTTTGTCTTTTCAATCTTATAAAGAACTCGAAAAGGTATTGAGTAAGATTAGACTGGAAGTGGCTATATACGTGTGGCCATATGAGAGCATTTCGAGAGGGAGAGAGAACTCTTCACATCCTCAGCTGTACCAAGACACCTGAGAGCCCAATAGACTATATATATATATATATATAATGTTAAGACTGATTTATTATGTAGCTTATATAGTCTAACAAAGAGCTCAACATAATGATGTCAATTTGTGATTTCTAGTGAATTTCGTAGTACTTGAAGTTTGTTCTAGTTAGTCTACGTCAACTTCAGTAAACACTACACAGTTAGTTATATGCAATTTAAGAGCTAGTACATGTGTGCATCACATCAGTACAGTGAAATGAAATTACCAACAAATTCCAGAATAGCAGAAGTAATAATAGTATTAATGGTAACAGAAAATATTAGGAATAGACAATATGATTCAAAACAATTAATTCGTGCTAGAAAAGTATCAAATGATTACGAAACTCAAGATGTATCTAGGCCATTGTGACTCATTCTAAGTCATGCCACTTAACATCTCCAACCATTGGTCACGATCGTCACGTGGCCCCCAACTAGCTGGTTTGAACCAGCCTACAACTTCATCAGTCAATGATTTTATGGAATAATACCACATTTTGGTTAAGCATTCCTTAGCTTACTTCCCAATTACTCTCACACCAACTAATACCGCAAGTTGAGGTAGGCAGTGGTTAGACATATGCAATACATGCCCCAACTATTCCAGTCGGTGAATAACATTATACACAGTACTCATAAAGAACACATATCTCTTTGCAAAAATGAATCTAGTTATGAGACCACTAACTAGTGTTTAATCAACCGCGAAGTATACTATAAATGTATATGAGATAAGTGCTTTGAATGGACAAACAGCAAGTCATAAGTTCACTTTGGTTACCCATGTAGAACAGGATAGTTGAATGTACTAAAAATACTGTTATTATTCCGCGTGTCACTCAAAACAAACATGTATGACAAGGAATTGATTAAGTTTATTACCATTTTAAAAACTGAAAGCCTCTAGAATTAGAAATAACTTCGGTGACAATATAATTTATAGACGAGCTTTGAGCGACGCTGAAGTGACCTTGAGAGTGAACACCTACTGATTAGGACTAAATGACGGTTATAAACCAGTTAAAATCTTTATTTACAGTTGATGGTTAGAATTAAAAATTAGATTTAGAGTTTTCATCACGAACTGACATAAGCTACAATGCTAAAACTCTATTTAGCCAAATGTATAAATGAATTTTGCGCCAAAATTCATGACTCGTTATTTTATATCTGATTGGTTCTTCCATAAATTACAATTTCTCACAACTGATTGATCACCGGGTGGCGATCAATGTCATGCGTGTCTAGTCCTTGTTAGTGCAGATCTAATGCTATCAATCATGTTGCAATGTGGCCACCAGTCTAGGTGACTCGACACCACGGGCACTATATATATTAGGATTAGATGGTGGTTAGAGGTAGTCGACAGGAAACCCTGGACCCGTGTTTCGTGGTACTTGGCACTCGTCTGCAAGGTGTACCTGTAATCTTGAGGGAACTGGTGCTCCCTGGCGGATTCGATCTCGTGTCACCCCCGTTCACAGTCAGAGACGTTACCGCTGAGCTATCCGAGCCGCAACCGACCTCTTGTAGGACTGAGATGTAATCACAATTGACCTCCAACCACCATCTAGTCTCAATATATATAGTGCCCGCAGTATCGAGTCACCTAGACTGGTGGCCACATTGCAACATGATTGATAGCATTAGATCTGCACTAACAAGGACTAGACACGCATGACATTGATCGCCACCCGGTGATCAATCAGTTGTGATTACATCTCAGTACTACAGGAGGTCGGTTGCGGCTCGGATAGCTCAGCGGTAACGTCTCCGACTGTGAACGGGGTGACACGAGATCGAATCCGCCAGGGAGCACCAGTTCCCTAAAGATTACATGTACACTTTGCAGACGAGTGCCAAGTACCACGAAACACGGGTCCAGGGTTTCCTGTCGACTACCTCCAACCACTATCTAATTCCAATTTCTCCATAACTTCTAAGATATCTAGTGAACAGAACCAGTGTGATACATCATTTACTTAATAGTAATAAGAATAATCGCTAAAACTTTACAATATCAAACAAATGAAAATGAAACCCAAACGTATAAACTTGATTTAATTCTTAACTAAATTTGCATTTCATAAGAAAAGTTGTATAGTGTAAAATGTTTCTTAAATTTGCACAAATTATTGAGATATAAATCAGTAATACTAACACTTAAATAGATACAAACTATTCAGGTGATTTTAAATGATACATAGTATGACTTAATTTATTTGATCAATTTAATCATAATATTATTGTGATATTGTGATATATTCGTTGTACATATTTTATGACAGCGATTAGAATCTATATGGAACCATCAGTGTGATATGATCTCGTCAAAAACAGTAAAATGGATAGTTGTTTTCTTTCCATCTAAATTCATCATGAGACCTGAATGACTTGTATCAGACGCCCTGTGAGATTGTAGATGAACACTGATTGTTAGCGGGACATAGACCAGATTAAAGCATGCTCAATGCATGATTGCTTTGGTGCACGCTGATTGGCTAATTCTTATCCAATCAGCACTAGTCGATAGTTGGGGAATACTCTGGAATCTTCTTATGTAAAAACTATAAATATACTGACGTTTTCCCTATTGTGCTTCTGACTTCCATCTAACCTTGTTATTTGGAATATAATCTTTTCCTGTTCAACCGTGTTTTGGTTTGGGGACTTGTCGAGTGAATCGGTGTCCGAGAATACTAAGCAATAGGAATAGCTGGGTCATTACCGTAAGAAAAGAGCGATTTATAACACTGATACTAAGAAGTTTCATAGTAAGATGAAACAGCTGCGTTAGTCCTTCTTGGTCTTCAATTCTTGATTGATTAAGGTCAGTTCGTGATGTAAACTGTGAAATCCAGCAATATTCACAACCCCCGACATAGTAAAAACTGATTACATTATGCAGTCTGACCACAAATCACATCGCCTTTAAAAACAACGACAACATGTATATAATATGATAAAACCATAGAGAATTTCTTATAGAAAAGTAGATAATTACGTAATTGAAGCTCCATAAAAATTGACAAACAGAAATATCTGAACAGCCAAACAGAAGAAAAATCAAGAAAGTATGACGGATAAACACAAACAACGAGAAACAATGAACATATATATAATAAATACAACAACTAACTACACCAACGTAATCCATTAAGTAACAATGAAATCTTTTCATATAATGTACATATTTATGGGTTTAATGGTGGAGAGAGATGATTACCTGTCCGAATAGACGAGATTTCCGACGAATCGAATCACACTACATATGTACATAAGCACAAATAACGAAAAAGTAGAAATAATTGGAACGAAATCAATAAGAACAACGGTTATTTGTCGATTATAGATCCAGGATCTCTTAAGTAAATATATTCAAAACAATAATAGTAATAATAAACATGGGGTACGATATGTAATTGTACCTATACAAGTGGCATGGATTAGAAATAATTGATGAATGTGATATTATTTAACTACGGATAACCTTCAAAAACCAGCAATATGTCTGATGAACTTGTGGATCTAAATGTAATAAAATAGTATATATTACTGTATTTTTATGATAAATGTTTGTATAAATTACTCGGAACTATCAAGCTTTATAAGCAAAGATGGATGGTAGCTAACAGTGGAATCCAAAACTGATCAATGGCAGTCCCAAACATCAGTCGGAAGATTCAAACAAACGATACAAAAATGAATTAAATCTTCAGCGCATTCTACAAGCCAGTAGCTATCTAGATTCAGCAGCTAAGTGGATAATGAGATGGCGTTTGAAGCGAACGGTACTGCGCTCGAGTCCCGGAGTGAACACCAACTTTGGGATGCAGGTACATTCAGCTGAAAAGTCCCAAATAGGACCATACGCGCGTCGCGAATTCCACTGTTAGGCACCATCCATCATTGCTTACATGAAGATAGTTGTTGTCCAAAAGAACTGAAGTTTAAATTGATTATTTTACTTAGAAATTTGATTATATGAAGAACCAATATCTACACATAGTTTGTTCTATTTTCTTCAAAAGAACGAGAACAAAGATTTGAGCAGAATGACATGAATTCACTTTTATTTTTTCTGGTTCTCATCAGCTGATTATAACCTGTAATATTTAAAAGTTATGATTACAAAACGATTTTAAACTACTTACATGACAATAGAGTAAATACTAAACATGTCTTGGATATAGGACATCAAGTTGATACCTTGCAATCCATCAAGGTGTTTAATAAACAGTCAAGCCCCAGTCTTCTAAAGTTTGCTGAAGCCATTGCTATTAGACATCAGAAACCGGATTTATATGATCAAAAAGAGATGGGTTTTTTTATCTTTCTTTGCCTTAGTGACAAATATTCCTTTATTACATCATGAAATTTTGTTCAACCCTTTCTTTCAATTAATTACGTCATTACATATTTTTATTTCGACTGTCTTATTTTAACTGAGGTTTACACAGTATTATTGTCGTTATTACGTAATCGCTTGCTTCTAAATCTTGTCTCTTATTACTAGCAACGTAGAATATTCTTTCTCATAAATATATATTTACATTATTATACTTGGTCTAATATATTTATTTATTTTCTATAGTGTACTGATGTTTGATAATAGCAACTTCCAACTGAACTCTATCATGAGTGTAATTTCAACCTGTTTTGTAGTTAAGATTCTAAATATTACAGAATGTAAGTAGCTGATGATAGACAAATGAAATAAAATGAATTCATGTCATTCTGCTCAAATTTTTATTCTTGCCCTCTTCAAAATAATATCTATATAAAAAGCTTCGACTAACACACACGCTGTTCATCATGACAGTTTATAATGTCTAGCAACATTACTTTCACTACTCAAAGTAGAAGTTGGTATATAACTGATATTGGTATTCACATTATTCTTCAGTCATCACGCTATGAACAAATGGCTACACTAAATATTATTTCGATAAAATGAATTGGTTACTTAACGTATTTTAAGACTAAATTCCAGTCCCCCCCCCCAAAAAGAAACAATAGTTAATGCCGACAAAGTCGAATCGTAAAGTTACCTCTTTATCTAAAACTCCCTTGACTTCTTCTCGAGTATCAACAAGACGACGTTTTTGTATATCATTAATTTTGTGCAATTCATTTACTCGATTAGATAAATCAGTCATTGATTTTCCAAAATGATCCATCACACCTAAACATTCACGTAAGTAACTATAAAACAGAAAGAAAAAAGACAGCGAATACTTTTACTATTGAAAATCAAAACCATGAAGTAAAATAAAATTATACAATTTAGTGTATGTCCCGGTACGATCGAGTGTGAGGAGAGTCTACTCTCTCTTCTGAAATGTCCTCATATAACCATGCATTCCATAGTCTCTGTTGGGGAAGGCGAATTCACTCTTTACACTCCAAGGTTGTTGGTTATGAAAGTAAGAGAATGAAAATATGAACATCCGGAACTTAAATCATGTTGATGGATACAGAGGGTTCATGTAAGGACGTGGTTGGAGGGCACAGATTCCAAACCAATGGTGTACACAGGTCCCAAGATCATGAAGGAACGAATGGTGCATGAACCTAATTATGGTCATCGGTTATCATGGGACGACATCTCTTCACGTTGCTACATTACATCTTTGAACCAAAGGCTCGGATGATAGCTCCCTAAGAAAGTCACCTACTTTGGTTTGAGCGCTCAAGTAGTAGTCCTAACACAGATTTTTGTGTGACATACTTTTGGTATGAAATTATGGATTAAATGACTAAATTAAATATTACATAGTAATCTAAAATTTACTGTCGACATTTGTTCAAAGGAGTGTAAAAAGGTTTTAGGGGAAATGAGTTGTAAGTCTAACAAGGAAATACAAAATAGTGATTGATATTTTCCTTTCAATAACTGTGATAACATCTGGCGAAAGAGAAAGCATTTCTTGGTGACCCTCATGCACTGAATGTTTTAGATCAAGACACCGTAAACAAGCATGTAAACTTGTTTCTGATGAAGATCACAAAGCACGAAGAGATTTAATTTTACTGAATAGGTTAGGCAACACATGGCCATTATGTCTTTTTATTACGACTGTCTTCCAGATTAGTAATCTTGTTTTATTAACTGAGCTTTACACATTTTATTCCAATCAGAGTTTACTCATTATGTAGTCACTTATTTCTAGCCCTTTGAATTCTTGTTACAATCAATATTGTAGAATGTTCTTCCACATGAGGTATACATATATAATACAATCAAATAAAAATGCCATGTAAAGGAGGAAAATTAATTGGAAAAATGTGCCTGTAATACCTGAGATGATCGAGGGAGTGTGTGTTAAGTACTCTCCACTAATCACTCAACCTGAATGTACTATGATATTTACATTAGAAGTACAGTGAACGTCGTACAGTAGTTTTATGATAGAGAAGTCTATAATTTTTTATTTAAATGGTATGATGCATTCTGATAAACGTCTTCAACAAAACAGAAGTCAATGACTGGAAAGTTCAATTAATAACATTAATAGTTGACCGAATCCACAAGGTTTTGTGAATCTAGAGAAACTTACTAATAAGTTTCACCTCATGTATTTACTTGTTTCTTAGCCTTTTGATGCTTTACAATTTTTATTCCCTTGATTTCCTGTAATCTCTGATTTTTGAGATGATGTACGATATACTAATTCTGACAACTACATAAATCTACAAGGTCTTAACTTTTCCAAGTAGCTTTAAGGTTAAAATATTTATGCAATGATCTTCCTTTTTCGAACTAAATTGTTTCCTGTTAAGTATTAGACTATTTATCCACCTTTTCCCATCACATTAGTTTCCTCACATCAGAAAATGATGAGGTTAGGACACGGAAATAACTGAGGAAATTTAAACAACAAGCTACCTAATTTTGTACCAAGTTTTCAAAAAATATCAATTTTAAAATATCGTTACATAAAATGTTTAAGGATTTTCGCACTTTTAACGTTTAAATTGGTTATTTAAATACATGAAAGTAAACAAATGGTTTAGGTTTACCAACTCAGTGATCATACATATACTTTTCCCTTCACTCACATAAACGTTCAATACATTTCGCTGTTATTCTAATGCATGCATAAATGACAGAATTGTAGATAGTGAAATAAAATTTGAACAGAATGTAGATTATAAACAACGATAAGATTTTTAGTAGAAACAACTTACTGAGTTTGAACATAGAAGAAATCAATTAAATGCTGCAGGAGATCAGCGCCACGTTTTGCTTTTAATTCGTTCACTTTGATCAGATACTAAAATAATATTAGATACGAAAGTTTAAAAAGTCAGGTATAATTATTCACAAATCAACTATGTATAATGACATTTAGACCGGCATATATTATTACTACTACTATATCAAACAAATACAACTTGATATGTATAGTTTTGAGCTAGGTAATGATACACAGTTTTCCAAACTAAAGTAGGCGGAGTGGGTTCGAACCTAGGACTTAGTAGTTGAAAGCTGAACGACTTAAGTATTGAGGCAACGCTCCACTGTCTAGAGTAATATACACTGAAAAAACCCAGTGTAATCATCGACTACAACATTACTTATTCTTTGAAATCCGATACCTGAATGACAAGAAATCTACTCATTCGGAAAAAAACTTACTAGCTGTGAATATATTCTAGGTGAAATGAACGGTTAGAAATCACCCAATCAAATATTAGTGATGGTAAACATACATAATGAACTGGAAATGACAGAAAAGCAGGTTGGCAAGTGAATGCTAGCTAGTGAGTGGTTTTAAGAAATACTTTTCTTAACCGAGAATAAGCTGAAACAATAAAACCTTGTCATTCTGTCTGTAACGGTAAAGACAATGAACGACTACTAACCTCTTCACTTCGTTTATTAGACTCAAAAGATCAGATGGTGGATTCCTGGCTAAACGATTTTTCAAACCCATAAAGAAGAAATAAAACTACAGATAGTACATAAACATATTTTTAAGAAAAGGAGGGATAAATAACTTCTGAATATATCGGTTGGTGATATCAAAAGTGGTAAACACGAAAAACAACATGGGGTCTGGGAATCTCAACGACAGCACCGGGTGACGGGTTCGACTCCTACAAAATACATCAGTCTCTCCATGAATTCAGACGCGCCTTGCTGGTGAGTGCTATCTAGCACAAAACTCAGGTCCAAAATATTTTTTCGATTACCTGCAACCACTGGGTACGTGTTTATTACGCAATAGCACTCATACACAAGTGACTGAGGTATATATCAATTAAAATCAACAGTGTGAGTTTTGTAGACCTATCAAAGCTAACTCCAGTTATGTTGTACCTTGATAAGTACTTGAAAAAGAGAACTTCGTCTCCTTTGCAATGGTAAACTATTGTTTCTTGATACATTACGATGAAAAAAACGAACTTACTTCACAAGTTTCAAGTTGAAGCCTTCGACGTTCTTTCTCTAAATCTTTCGTCATTCCTTCTGTAAATGCTTCAGGAACATAGCATCCAGTTTCCTTCATTGTTTGTAATTTTTCCTTCCGTAATTTATCACTATGTATCATAAAAAATAACAATCGACAAACGTATTAGGAAATTTTATGTACAGGTTACCAATCCCTAAATGAATGTTTTGACAGAGTATGTATCACCTTTAACTGCGAAGGCAAGTAGACCTGTCGGTAAATGAATGACTAGATACATAGGCCACTTAAACACAGGAGCTGAGATGCAACGACTAATCTGGAATTGATTATCAATTATTAATTAATTTTGAAACGAAAAAAAACTAATTAGTTTGAAATTAACATCGGTGAATCACGACATATTAAAATACACTAAGTACACTGCAGACAACTAAAACTTCATTAACCGAGATACAAAAGATGACAGGATTGTATATTGGATTATTACTAATTTATCTCGAATCTACTTTAAACCAAGACAGAACGTCTCTTGAACCTTAAAACACACTTCAGAGACATTTATCACGGACTAGCTTATTTTAAAAACTAAAAATACTATTTCCCCGTGGCAGCAAAATTTAATTCACAATCCTGTGTTAATATTCACTTAATAAAATACATTTAAACTTGTCCATTACATTAACTACGTACCACAATTTAGGAAGAGTAAAATTGTAAACTACGAAAATCCAACAAGTCATTTAGGGTCCTTTGGTTTCAAATAATGGAGCATGATAATGTCAGCTGCTTGTATGTGGCTTCAGTGTGGATAACTTGGTAGTTTCAGTAATATTCAAGAATGGATTAAAACCAAGTATGCCGACGCCTATCATCGAGTTATGTCAAATATAATTAAGAAGATAGCAAGCTGCTTGCAAGTCCATTGACGAAGCACTTATTGAAATACCACAATAAACGTAAGGGACTTACTATTTATATTCATAATCCTTAAGTGCCTTCTCGAAGGGTTTCTTGAGGTCGCTTTTAATATCACCTTGCATAAATGTTTCCATTGGAAATACTACGATACTGTTTAAATTCTGCATCTAAATATAAAGAATTGGGTAAGTTTTAAAAAATTTGGTTTTATTGTAAAATGTTCTTCGTTCTGTGACGTTATTATATGAAAAAGGCCAGAACTATTTACGTCACTACTCACCAAATGCTTTGTCATGTTGGCTAAGTCCCGGTGAACAACGGAGAACTTGCAGAGACTGGTGGCAATGTCATTCCCATTGGGTTCGTTACCCTCCAAAGCTATTTGACCAAGTCTTTCTAAAAGTCACATAACAATGTTATTTGTTCAGCATATGCTGGGAAAATAATAAAGGTCAAGAGTTACCTATTCCAGAGGCGACAACTGACTTTACTAATTTCTTTGATCGTATAAGAACATTTCGATCTGTCTCTAAACCCTAAAAGAAGATAATGGTAAGTATATATATGTATACGTTCGACATGAAAAATTTATTTTAGGAATAAAAAAGCTTACCTCGTCTAGGCTGTACACTGTACACCTCACACTTGAAATTTTTGAAATAAAATCGGATTTGAGAGGATGTCTGACGTCATTCAGAGTGTCACCAATAAACTCATCAACACTCAACGCATCAGGCATTATCCCAGTGGCGTTGTGATCAAGAAGGGCGCCCGTTCAAAATATTTTTAATATCTAATATATCCGGATCCTTTTGATAAACCATTTACTACTTTTGCCAACATTCATTGGTGTTATAGAGCCTAATCTAAAGCGTTTTGTTCATTAGCTTGCTTGAAAAAGTCTCACCGAAAGTTCAAATGGTTCAAATGGTTGTGGACGGAATAGAAGAAGCTTTCGCTTAACAGGCTTCCGTGTCTAGTAGCAGGGGATCACCAAATCCTCCAGGCAGGAACCTAGGTATGTTAACAATAAAAAGGAAAAGAAATTGGTAAATCATAATGTGATGCTGTCCTTGGTCCTTAAGAATAGGTCAAGTTGCCTCTTGAAGGACTCCTGAGAAGTCGCTTGGACTAGCTCGGCCGGCAGCGAATTCCAGCTTTTGACAACTCTTAAGGAGTAGAAGTTGTGTCTACATTCCGTCTTGCTATGTTGTGTTTCCAGTTTCTGGGTGTTACCCCTTAGGTTATTATTCGAACTAAGCTTAAGTAGGTGTTTAAGAGGATGTCCAGAAGTGTTAAGAATACTGTAAGCCATTAGTAAATCACCTCTAAGACGCCTATATTCTAGTGGGTAAAGGTCTAGTGAACGGAGGCGTTCTTCGTAAGGCTTAGATTTGAGTCCTCGAACTGATTTCGTGGCTCGCCGTTGGATACGCTCCAAAGTGACCTTGTCCTTCTGGAGTGAGGGAGGGAGTACTATGTTTCCGTACTCTAAATGGGGACGGATGAAACTATTGAAGATTGTGTGGAAAGTTCGTCCGTCAAACTGTCCAAAAATGCGCTTCAACGTTACCAGTGCAAGGTTTGCTCGGAAGGCATTTTTGTCACAGTTAGCGTAAGACTTTAAGTCATGGGGTACCAGGACTCCTAAATCTTTTTCGACTTGGGATACTACTAGAGAGGAGTTTCCTAAGTTGTAACTGTAGTTTGCTACATGTCGCAGATGGACTACTTTACACTTTGAAGTGTTAAAGGTAAGTCCGTTATCGTCTGCCCAACTTTGAAGTCGAGTCAGATCCTCCTGAAGTGCCTGTGTATCGTCTTGGTTGCGTATCTCTCTCCAAAGTTTCACGTCGTCGGCAAAAAGTAATAAATCTGACGTTACCTGTTGAGGAAGATCATTTATGTAGATCAAGAAGAGAAGAGGCCCTAGTACTGAGCCCTGGGGGACCCCACTAGGACATTCCATAGCCTGAGATAAAGTGAAATTAACCCTAACCTTAAAGTGTCGATTTTTTAGGTATGAAGTAAGCCAATCGATTAGAGGTGGTTTGATACCTAGTCGTTTGAGCTTGTTGATAAGACATAAGTGGTTAACCTTATCAAAAGCTTTTGAGAAATCAAGGTAAATGACATCAACCTTTCCCTTGCAATCGAGGATGCTTGTCCATTTATCCACCGCAGTCAGCAGGTTGGTTATACAAGAGTAACCCTTCCTGAAACCATGCTGTTGGGGTGAGAAGAAATTTAAGGACAGTAGATAGTCATTTAAACCGTCGCATATCAGGGACTCCATGAGTTTTGAAGGTAATGACAGAAGAGCCACCGGCCGATAACTTGAAGGTTCATTGCGTCGACCACCTTTGAAAATTGGTGTGATGTGAGCCAACTTCCAATTTTCCGGTAATTTGCCTCGGCTAAGCGAGTGTGAAAACATCACGCTAAGCGGCGTTGCCAGGATTGAGGCTGCCTCCCTCAGTATGGCAGGATGAACCATATCCGGGCCAGGAGAAGTGTCAAGTCTTAAGTGCTGCAATTTCCGGAACACCAAGTCAGCGCTTAGGTCCACTTCAGAAAGTCCTGTGGAGTTGGAGATGAAACTGTCGTCAATAAAGTTGATGTCAGCCGGTTGAAATGTTTGAGAGTAATGGGCCGCCAGAAGGTTAGCGGCGTCGCCATCGTTGTTGGTCGGGCCGTTAAGACCTAGCAGTTGAGAAACTCCTGTTTTGGCTTGACGAAGAGAGGCTGCATAACGGAATAGGCTTCTAGGGTTAGAGGCGAATTTGTCCATAAGCTTTGTTTGGTACTGAAGCCTGTCTTCTCTTATAGCCTTCGTGCATGTGTTCCTGATATGTTTGTATTGCCTATACGCTCCATCGTTATTAGTTCGTTTGTATTCCGCCCAACAGTGCCGTTTGCGGCTTAGGAGGCGAAGGGTACGGTTCTTGATTACTGTAGGTGGCTTGAAGCTTTTGGGAACCGTTTGAGGAACTGAATGGTCTGTAGCACATAAGAGCGTGTGCAGTAAAAAGTCCCAATGACCATCCACATCGATTTGAGGGTGAACATCCCAAACGACCTGTTGTAGATAGTCATGTAGAGCTGGCACATTCAGCCGTTTAAAATTCCAACGCAAATTATTGTTGGGATACCTTAGCTTAGTTTTGATGACAAAACTGAAGGCTATGACGGCATGATCGCTTTTTCCCAGAGGAGCCAGGATTGAGAGGTTGTCGACTAGGAATTCTTCGTTAGTGAATACACAGTCTAAGCGCGATGGTGTCTGACTGTTTCTCCAACGAGTTGCCGACCTCACATTTTCATATAAGCCCAAGTTATCGATGAGGTTGTAGAACCGAGCTTCAATTGAGTTGTCGCCTCCAGTGTACGTGTGTTCCGCGAAGTTGACTCTAGGGAGATTAAAGTCCCCTAGAATCAGGATGTGTGTGAAACCGAGACGGATAGAGCGGGATAGTCCTTCCAGCATACGACTATCGTACTCGGTGTCGGCAGTTGGCTTCCTGTAAATGACTCCGACTAGACACCTGGAAGTACTAGACAGTCTTACAGAGCACCATATGGATTCCTCAAGATTGTTAAACTCGAGGTTGTGAACCTGGTGCACCTCCAAGCAAGAGCTTATGTATATGGCTACTCCGCCCCCAATTCCTGTTTTTCTGTCGTTGCGGAACAAAGTCATCCCAGTCAATGCTAACTCTTGGTCCGAGAACTGAGAAGATATCCAGGTTTCAGATATTCCTATCAGATGGGCCTTATTAGCGCTGCTAAGTTCACGTAGTTCATCCAGTTTGTTTGGTAGACTCGCGGCGTTCATATATAAGCAGTTTATGCTTTCAATTTGGAACGCGTGAGCTTCGTCCTGTTTTTCTGTATGAACCTTATGTGAATGGACAGGTAGCCCACCTATATGAGGTTTGCCGAGGTGGTAGGCCCTGTCCTTTACACGTTTTTTTTATCGTTTAGACAGTCCACAAGTGGAATGGTCAGCTCCAACTTGCCTTTGTTCTTGGTCCTAACTTCGTATGGCCTATCCGGGTGCATGTGGATTCCAGGTGGCAATCGACGTCTATTAGCACGAAATGCTTCCAGAACTGCAGCCGCCATGTGGGAAGATGGGAAGGTTATCTTCATTAGACGGGGTCTAAGATCACCGTCCTTCTTGGCTAGTCTCGTCACATGCTGAGTCAGTATGTGTTTGAGCCTCAAGGACTGTTTGATGAATTTCCATTCCCTGATGTCAGAATTTGGTTGGGTAGGGTCTGCATTTTCCGGTATACCTTGGACAATTATGTTTCTTCCGCGGAAAAACTTCTCGCGAGATTCTTTAGGGACGTTTCGTTAATTTTGAGCCTGATTTTTTTCAGTTTCAGGTCGTAAAAACAGGAAGTGGGTGAACTGTGTAAGTTCTTATAGAGGTAGTCTCTCATTCGATCATCAAGTAATTTGAATAATGTCATCAGTTCACCTCTGATTCATCTATATGTGTCTATTTTAACTAGTCTTTTGTCATGCGAGAGCTTTGAGATCCCGGGGATCAGCATAGTTGTGGCTCTTCTAGCCTGTTCCAACAGTTCGCCGTCTCTTTTCAGACAAAAGCTGGCCGCTTGTATGCAGTGCTCGAGTTTAGAACGAGAGAACATTGTGTACAAAATCAAAAATGTTTAGTATCAGCATGACTAAAGGCTCTGTTTATTGACCTTAGAATTCTAAAACCTTTAGCGGCTTTCTCACAGAAATTTGTATTAGTTGTTAAGTCTTGGGTAGAGATGACTCCTAAGTCATTGTGTATCTGAACATTAGTTAGCTCAGTGATATTCATCGAGTATGTGTCTGCACCTCGGTGACCAATGTGCATGATAATGCACTTGAAAGCATTCATCGGTCACTGCAAAATTCTAGACCGAACAAATGGTTTCTGCTGGTTACACCATACCATCACTTTTACTTTTTATCGCTTTCAATATCTTGAGATCGTCATGTATGTAACAAAACCGATGATGACACGAGACTGGGAAGATCATTTACTTGTAGGGGAAACAACATTGGCTTCAAAAGTGTATCCTGAGGTGCTCCACTAAAGTTTCCCATGGAGACAATTTAATGTTCACCTACACTTTTTGTTGTCGTCCGAGTAGACATACCTTCATCCCCATAATTTATTTACCTTCAATCCCGAAATCACTTAGTTAACAGTCGGCTGTGAGGATCTTTGTCAGAAGCCCTATTGAATTCAATATAAGCTACTTCCATAGGTAACAATTAAGGGACGAGTATACTGTGCAACATTTTGTTCTGTTCTACTTTGCGGCTGCGAAAAATGGTTATTAAGGGTAGAAGATACTCGTAAGCTACCAGTATTCGGTCACAGATGTCCTAGAAATGTTGCTCGCATCTGCTGGGATCACCGGGTAAGCAATAGTGAGGTTAGACGCAGGGTATTAGGGAATGATGTTAAATCAATTGATGAGGTTGTGAATCTTCATCGACTGAAATGGTTTGGCCACGTATTACGTATGTCTGAACACCGTTTACCACGACGCACAATGCCGACAAGTGTTGGAGACGGTTGGAAAAAAGTTAGGGGCGGCTAAACTAAAACATGACATCAGTAATTGAAGTCACTGGCTTCTGGTCGGAGCCGCATTGGTAGATGCAGACTACTTGGTTGAGGTCCGCGTGACCAGTGTAATTAATGGTTAGAGACTTTAGGTGGCATGGCTCAGAATCGATCACAATTGTGTAGGTGTATACACTCTTTGTCTTCCCTGACGGCGTGAGATTAAGGCTGCTTTATGCCTTTCTTTTTACCTACTAATTATTTCTTCCTGTACTATATATCTATACACAAACGTCCTTTTATATATTACTATCACTGAATTAACTACTTCTATTAGATTGGTGTTGATGGTGTGCTGATGAAATGCATTGACTTGAACCGATGCATATTTGTGCCCATTCGTATGTTGTAGCTGACTGACTCCCATCCATAGGTAATTTTCGGTCTTTAAGAGCACGCTAACTTTCATGGGTTATCAACAAGTTTGTGAGATATGAATGACCTATCCTAAAGCTGTAACGTTTTTCAGAAAGGATCTGGTTTTCATCTAGATACTTATATAGTTAATTCCGAATCTTTTTCAAGCTTTGAACAACCACACTGGTCAGGCTTATGAGTTGACAGTCCTCAGATATGTATCTCGTACTTATTTTGAAGACAGGATTAAATATGGTGTTCTTCTAATCTTGTGGAATCCACCTTAAGTTACAGATACATGAAAACATACGCCCAACGACATGGCGAAAATATTAATTAGTTCCTTCAGTAAACTGTGAAGAATTTCACTTGGTCACATGGATCTACCTATATAATGCCTTTTTAGCAGACCAAAGACATCGAGTTCTTAAATGGTCATAGTATCCAGAGTGTATATGGGGGGTGGTATTAAGCGAGGAAAGTAGATCTCTGTAATTTTGCGTTCAAATACATTCTATTATCCCTACTCGTCTTCTTGTTCACTACAATATGTCGAGAGGCGTTTCGTCTAAGCTGGCTAGCAGTTACTAGGTTCGCGCACGATGGGGTACCCACTAGTGATCTTGTGCAGATGAGTGACTTAGTTTCTTCAGCTTGAGTATGTCCAGTAAAACTAGTGAGGTCAGCATTATTGTCTGAGACTTACAGGACTGCTGTTTCTGGGAGTTTGTTTATCGCTTTATGTTTCTTTATTAGGCAGAACTCAAGCTAATTGCGATTGCTAGAACAAGCTGTCATTAAAAAAGAATAGGTAAATTGCGGAGACTAAAAACAGTGTGTTTCGAAATGCATTAGTATGATAGTCAGAATTACTTGGAGCGAGTTGCTAAGGTTGCCTTGAATGTTGGGTGGTGAATAACAAGAATTGAAGATCGAAAAAGGCAGACACGAGGACATTGTTGGGACCGCACGTTTTGGCCATGAGAGCATCGTCACGCTATGTACGTCTTTCGGTTTCATACTTAAAATGTTATTTTGTTGGGGGGATTGCATTTATTCTTCAAAGGTTATTATTTACGAGAGACATCCTGACCTCTATTGTAGGGTAAGTTGGAATAGCAACAATGAAACATTGATGTAGGGTCATATAAATAGGGCAGCCGCATCATGACGAGTCGACAGTAGTCGTTTGAGTTTGATAATCTAGTAACGTAAAGGGGTTAATCAATAGCGAACTTAGTGTGGAATGTACAGCTAATACTTCTCAGCGCATTCCTCCATGCTCTCCAGTAAATTTCGCCCAGATGACACTATTAGGTAAGCTCAAATTTCCGTGGTTGTCGATAGTATCGTTGTTAGGCAAATACGGACGCACAATGAGAGAATGGACAAAAACTCCTGATAACTAAAAGTTGCGTCCACTTGGCAGTTTTAAATATTTTCATTTGTCAATTTAAAAATCACCTAAGAAGCCCAATTTGATTTTCCTACAGCTCCGCTGCTAGATTACCTAGTCTATAAACTTTCGCTATGGTAACGCGAGTAGTACCCTGATTCATTAGTTTGATAAACAGACCCTCAATTGGGTGAATAACATGCTGAAAGAAATATCCTGGGTCAAAACTCGATCCTCTTCAACTCCTGTTTTGAAATTTGGGGCGGGGGTGGATTATTTTTACTCCTTTACATAGTGATGGTGATTACTTTAGTAAAATGAGGAGAATGATGACTGACAGGTTGATCACTACCAGATTACTGTTTTTGCTTCTCCTTGTCGAATTTTTCATGCATCACTTCCGCACCTATGCTATGTGTCGTGGTGATAGGTTTTCATGTGCTTGTAGTTCGTAGAGATGTTATATAATTGTGGGCCAGCATTTTCTTCTATCCCTCAGCTTGTTTACAGGTCTTAAGACTAATCATTTTTATGCGTGGCACGAATCGCTTCGAGATAGCTTCGGTTTTCCACTAGCACATATCATCCGGATGAACCTTCTGCTTTTCATACCCTTAACCAACCGTGACATACTTGTGAAGACATAGTAAGAACCAGTCGATCTGTTCACATTACAGCTCAACTCTTGAAAAGTGTCCATTTGTTTCACAACATTTCGTGGATTTTTACTTGAATGTAATGGTCTTGTAAAGCAGGTATTTGGTCAGATATTGGGATATTGTGAATGAATGAGAATGTCCAAAGTAATCTAGTTGTTTGAAACAGGTTTTGTTGCGGTAGCCTGTGATCATTCGATCAGCCTAATCCAGTCAAAACTGTTGAAGAGAAATAACGTGAAGTTTAATATTTAAAGTTTTGGGAGGGCGTGTTGAGCGTACAAAAGGCGAAATGTATGAGTCCGAAGAAAAGTAACGTCGTACAAATGATGAGTATAATAACCCTTGGATGACGTGCAACCAAATCGACCTTTCTGATAGTCATGTACCAACGATTGCAAACTTAAGTGGATTTATATACTTTGACCGCCCAACAGAAATAACAAGCCCATCCTATCTGACGACATAGTCCTACCTGGTTGGGACAAGCATACAAAATTATGCCACGAATAGCCCTTTGAAAAGAAAAGACTGTGTTGACAGTGAAATAAAAGTGATCCCTAACCACAAGCTTCTCAAATCTGAAAATACATATAATTGGCCGTTGAAGACTTGACGAAGACCAGGAAATGTCAACATGCTAACGCTTGATACGGCCCGTATGGCTCAGCCACGCGAAATTAATCACTATATCTCACCTGATTTTTACTTAATGTGTTGATCTATCGACAGCCCACATATATTCATTAATGATCTTCAAGGGTAATATCACCAACTGTCACATAGGGCAATTCAGTATAGACAACTGTGGAACTTTGACGTAAAATCTTATGAATTAGGCAATCAGATCACTGAAAGTACGCATAAGTGTGTTCGGATTATCATTTTTGTTATTGATGACTTTATCAAATATTATATTTTTGGTACAATCTAGAATTCTTAGCACAGCGTATTTCAACAAGTTTCTTTTTCTCATTTCTTGATCGATCCTAGTTACAAATATTGGGTGGTCGACAGTTAGCTGTTAGTAGTTCAGGAATTGATATTCGAATAACGTGCGTTATTTTCAGTGCGTGTCGCCGGCCACAACGATATCTCTGATTGTACTTTTTTGTAATTTGTACAGCGAAATGTCGTAAACATTTCATAAACGCACCTGGTTCATATAATCACATTTTCATATTACTCAGTTCTCTATGGTTTACTGTTCACGCAGATGGACAGCTAAATTAATCTCTATGATAATTTTTGAATTTGCCACGTCATTACAAGTGCGCTTGCAAAATTCACTTTTCATAGTATAATCGGATATCAAAATCGTTGAGAATGAGAGTAAAACTCACTAACAGTCATGGTATAATGATAACTTACAATTAGATTTAAAATAATAGTCCGGGACTTACCCGTCGATTTCTAGTACCTAAAGAGACGAACGATCATACAGCATACAGTTTTTTTACTAGCAATCGCCAACCACCATCGCAGATTGAGCTTTAGTAAACAATTGCAGATGAAGTTTGTGGCTTCCGAACTGAAGTGATTTGGCATGAGGAATAACTGTTGAAGTTAGTTTAGTTGTGGGTGCTCTCATCTAGTCGAAATCCAAAGCAAAGTGGTTGGTTGAAGAACAGTTCTGAATATCTTAGCAAAGTTAAATGCACATTACTACTTAAGCAAATATCCCCACCATGTTCTCAAACCAGTAATTGTTCAATGGATAGTCAAATAACGTTCGACAAACAGTCGTTCGTATTAGTATGGAAATTTATACTACCTTTTGTGAATGGATCATATACATATTGTTCAAGAGACAATACTCACTTTTTATGGCACAAACGAAAAGAGGAATAAAATCAATATGGAGGCCTAAATGACCAAATATAAAGTGAAACAACGTTTGTGTAGTCTATGAAAAGCCTACAAATTCACTGAAAAGGTGAAAAAAACGGAAGTCGCAATAAGATAGATTTTTCATGGTCAGGGCACAATGTATAGAAAGTTTCGGTAGATTGAACGGTTGTATTCTATGCTACGTATTGAAGGTGTGTCTAAATGTTCATCGATAGACGAAGGTAACGAAAAATTGTCATCATTCACACCAACCTAACACCAGGATTTATTAAATCGAAGTAAACCTAATAAACAACTTTTGAAATATTTGTCAAACGGTGTGACGAAATAAACTAAAAATGAAAGTGACAATTTATTGAATGAATAATGTCATCTTACAAGTAGAACATTTAATAAGTATTACAGCTCAACACCCACATTTTTGTTTAAGTTGATCAACGTAAAGTTTTAAGATGAACTTTGACGATTTCAATAGAAACTTGTATATGTGATGTCGCGGTAAGATATGGGATCATAAAATAACGTTTTAAAAAATGCTGATTAAAGTTTACCGTAAGAATTTTGCTGTTTAATGTTATTAACTCCCGCGATTAAACAATCTGACAGCAAGTGTTAACACTGCTGTGCTACGAAAATGTGCGATGCTAATTATTGTTCCAGTCTCCATAGACAGCCATATTGGCTTGCAGAATTCAGAAATTAGTGTTCATAATATACGTTTAAGTAAAAGATATACTTGTTGGTTAAATGTACTTCATCACTTAACATCAGAACTGCGTTTTCTATTTTGGTGTATTTTCTACATTCCTGGTCTCGCATAAATTTAACTGAATTTATACTTGTATGTCGTTCAGATGATAATGCTTGAATTTTATCGGTAGCGTTTTTCTAGATTTTTGATTTCAATGTTCAGTTATGGCTTATTAGTTTTTAAGCTTCCAAATATCACGAAGGTAAATTCAAGCCCCTTACTGTATAGGGTCGAGGAATCATGTGTTATTTGGAATTAAGCAATGTTAACTATACTTTCAACAACATTTCATGACACTATATTTACTCTTGGTTTTACATTGCTCACATATTAAACGTGAACCTCGATTCTCACTTGCATTAAAAATTTGAGGAGTTTCAGGTTCATAATGGTTGTAGGTTTAATCCTGTTTGCACTTTCAGTCTCCGTTACTAAATGAAAAGACATGTCCTAAAAGTTAATATTAACAACTTTGACTAGAATGCAAAATGTAGCAATACACAAACTACTGCATTGCGTATTTCTTTGTTAAAATGAATTATCCTTAGACGTTTGTGCATATTTTTTGTTCATTCGCCTACTAAAAGTTGACTCAGTCACCTGTTCATCAGTTATTTTTTTCAAAGTCTCACGAACAGCTTTCATGCTGCCAGTGAATTCTGGTTATCAATCTAGGTTTTCTCAAAATGTTTGTATACACAAAGCTTCAATATGTTGAAAAATAACCCGCTACCAATAGGAGGTTTTTGATATCACTTTAAAGTAAATGATTTTGTTTCACAATCAAGTCGTTAGCACGACAAAAATCATCCCAAGTGCTATGTGTAAGTGTTTATAGGGTAAGATTTGTGATGGATGGACATTATAATTGGTCAATTCAAAAACTTTTCATTTGTCAAAAACTGGGCTCACTTGAAAAAATAAACTTTTAACTTTTTATTCGTACATTCTAAAATATAAATTGATTAAGGGAAACATGAACTAGTGAATCTTCCACTCTTTCAGTGAAATGTTTTACTGGATTTTACTAAGGTGCATGTTATTTCCTAGAATTTGCATAAACGTATTTATATTTCTGGGTAAAAACCCTAAATCTGATCAAATATTTTGACACGAGGTCCCTATGTAGTGTTTCTTGTTTCATAAAAATGTTGAGTTTGACAGTGAGTTTCTCAGTTACTCGACAATCATAAGAACTAGCGGATGCCTATTTTTCGGTTTAGAATTAATAATCGTAAGCTACGATAAGCTATTAAAATTCTGTAGTACTTAATATATAAGCAAATTTTGGATCTTTCCTCCGGAATCCAAAGGAACTTTGACAGAAACTAGTCGTGTACCGATATTTAGTTGCCATATTTATCGTTATTATTAGATAGACTTCTGAAAATTTATAATATTGTTATTGGAAAAGTATTAATTTTTAATTAAATGCGTTCTAGCTCTAATTCTGATTTCAATAAGCAAAAATATACATATTTTGTGTAACAAAAAACAACAAGTTTACAGGCTAACACTCACATTTAACACTGTCTAGCATCTTGTCCTACTGTGCAATATTTAATTGGATCGTGAAGTTTATCAGTGTGTTAATCTATGACTCAGTTTTAATGACCGGGTAAACTGAATATAATCGATAAAAACACACAGAGAAACATGCATATACAAAGGTCTTAAATGAAAAGTTAATCGTTACTTATTTAAGAACAAGTACAAACAACTTAGTATGGTTAATAATGGCTCACTTAACATTTACAATAAGGTCGAGCATTTTACCAGTCCCGACGAGAGTAAGCATTAGTAGGTATCAGGGTGCAACAAGCAATTAGTGTAGGTATAGAAAAAAGTAAAGGTTAAGTATATACTTGTTTCTGTGTACTATTTTTCAAGTTATAAGCTTTCATTATTGTTGATTGACTTGAAAATGGATATTGAATTGTAAAACAATAGAGAAATTTGAATTAAAGTTACTATTATCTTTTGGCTACTAAGAGAAACAAAGCTTTTGTTGCTTGGAAGTAGGCACCGTATACTAAATTATTCGTGATTTGACCCTTCAGTATGTTTTTTCGCAGAGGGTTTCTTTTTAGAAGTTCTTCGATGTGATTGATACATATTTTTCAAATTCAAAAAATCTTTAATATAACTTTTGACATATTAAATGATACAAGCTAACTAAAACAAAATTAGTGCTAACACGAGACCGATCAACTGAAGTCTTAAACAACAATGGGAAGATACAAGCAAACAGTACCAAGTGAATCCAAAAATAGTAGGTTTTAGTGAGTCAAAACAGTCAAATCCGAAGGACTACTAAAAAGAAAAATATGACTGTATTTTACACTAATTAACATGTGTCAAATGAGTATAATTTAATGAATTGGAAGGCAAAAATGTAACATTCAAACAACAGAGCTACAACTCGGTGAAATTTTTATAACGATCCTTTACTTGTGTACATAGCGGAGAAGCTTTGTCTCGTCCTTAAACGTTAAATGTCACTACTTGAGTTTGTCATGTATGTGGATTTTAGAGCCATAAAAATAACGATGAAGAACACATTTATTCTAGGAATAGATTTGGTGTGATAAATAAGTCAATAGAAATATGTTCAGCAAGTAAAGTATCCCCCTCAGATTAACTGCAGCTATCTATTTCAGTTCATTAGAGGAATAATGATTTAATGCGATAGTTTAATTGACATCAAAGTCTTTGTAATAATTGTTTGAGTAATAAATAGGCAAAGGTAATTACATTTATAGGTAGGCCGAACATTTTCGCATAGTTTTTTTCTTTGTCAAGCCTAACTATCATTTGTCATATGCTATACTTTAACATGGGTGAAAAATTACTGTTGGACATAAGGTTTGGCTAATTCACTTGATTTTTATTAGTAAAAGGACATTTTTTACACAATCGGGGTTTTTAACGTTAAACGGTGTTCCTCAGGGTCACCCACTAACCTAGATTCCGTTTAATTTCACCACAGACGTCCTCCCATAGGTTCCACTTTTGTTATGCAACCTTTAGAAGACTGATGTATTTAATGAGAAACTACTAATCATGTAGAATACATGAATTATATTGTTCCACTTGGTAGAAACGCTGAAAAAACTTCGTTGCGTCTCCTTAACTCTCTGACCAATGGTATTAGCATTTTTAAAACTTTTTTCCCTCTGGCTGTTAAATATTTGTTCAAGATAGGCTTGAGTCATCGCCTAGTTATGTCATAATAAGCGACTCTAAGGAAGTCGACCATTTGTCTGGTACTGGAGGTTTCCTTAGCTCTTGGTGGATTGGTTCCTGGGAAAATCTAGGCACGGATTTGAGAAGCTCACTTATTTTTCATTAAGTTTCGTCAGTCAAAGTGTAGGAAACATGTTCACTTATCAAAAATTGCGAATATACTGACCAGCAGTCCACTCATCATTGCATTACAGAGGGGAAAACGGTTAATGTAAGTAAAACACGTGTTTAGATGTCACGCTTATAATCATAGACGCCTTTGGAGCATAGCTTGTGTATTGAGGAATAACGGGGTTGTCTTTGTCAAGGTAAGCAATAGATTACTGAGCAGCGAGGATGAACCAGTTGAAGACGATATGAATCTTCATCAATCAAAGTGGCTGGGACATATCATGAGCACACACAATCAACTGTTGTCTTGACATACAATTATTTGCTGGAGTGGAAGTAGGTTAAAAGAAGGATAATAGAGGTCAAACCAAAATGTAACACCAGTTTATATACTGAATGACTATTGATTTGAGCTAAGTAGGTTGATGCAGCCCACGTAGTTTGGGTATGTCAGATAACTACGGTCTGTGGTTGAAGACGTTGAATGACATGACTAATAAATGAACAATATGATGAGAACGCATTCATTCCTTTCTTTTTTCTGTACCTATGTCTTTTATGAATACCTTTTCACCACGTCTTCTGTATCTGACTTTTCAACGCATTATTTTTGTCAATACCATTCGTACGGTTATTTTCAATTCCTTTGCTACTCATACTGATAACCTAGTCTCATTGTGCTGATGTAGTATGGAAACTAGGGCTAATACACATTTATGCCAGGTTCTGCGTTACTTGTGAATAATTGATCATTCTCCAGCTGATAAGAGTCCAGGTTAAAAATAATCACTACACTAAATGGTATCACAACCATTAAATTTCAAGAATTCATCAAATCTTTTTTAAACTTCTGCATTTTATATCTGATGTTGTTTTAGATTATTTATATGCTATTGTATATTTAAAATTGTAATATGCTAATTTAAAGCCTGTGCATACATAGTATCTAACATCTCTCATAAAAGATACTTGTTTAATAACGACTATTCATATCCGTTTTAAACACAATTTTGATTTAACAGAGTAAATCACTTACAGCTGCAAACAATGTCACCTTATTTAGATAAAATTTAGTTCACATTCTTATTAATTTAATCACCTATAGAATTGGAAGATAACATGTCCATTTGATTTTATTTACCATTCATCTTTTGGTTATATCTTATTCATACACTTTCTTAGTATCTATAAATTGAACTGTTACAATCTAATTTAATTATTTCCAGAAAGGATTCAACAATCAATGAATTCTTATGATTAAGTGTTAACTAGAACTTAGATAGTAATTAAATATCATAGATACTAAGATTAGTCAAACTATTAAGTTATTTTATATAACCTTTTCCATTTCTAAACTCAAATAAGGGAAAAAAAGCTAAATTATAACCGA